TTTGCCATGCCTGAATGGACTGGGAAACTCATTCCTCACAGGAATGCTTTCAAGGACAAAGAGACATCTGTATACTCATCATCCATACATCAATAATGCTTCCTAGAAAGCTCAATGAATGGATGAGAGGTCGTTGCTTGGCAGGATATCCAAGCTGCATGGTTTTGCATGGCTATAACATAGACATATACGAATGCATGCAATGTATACCACAACTTGTAATGCTCTCAGTAGATAATGATCATTAGGACCAGTTCAATTATATACAGATAATACAGTACATGTACTTTACTATTTTGCATGCTTCTCGACTGAAAAGCTTGCCAGATGTTTGTCTGATTTAGCATCAATGGACCAGTTTAATAACATATTTAAATATTATGCATACTTTTAAAACAAAGGTTGTTCTTGACAACCTGAAAACTTGTCCCAGGCTTACCCGACATATCAATGAGTAATGTATGCAGACTGGATTCCAAGAATCATAAGTCATTCATTGATGACAGGTTACTATGGAATAACTTGTCACTAGGTCCCCAGGAAAGAAACATCCATAAATTTAGATATATTTAATAGTAAACCAGTCGATTGATATATGCATCCTATTATAGTGAAAACAATAACTCTTATGAACAGATGACTTGCAATTGTCCATCAATAGGATCTACATGTAAGTTAGAAGCATTCATGACTTTGAATTACTTTGGTCTCAATGCGCCAATTTTCATAATGTCACCAAAAGCAATGCGTACGCCTTTAAGTGCCTCATACACATTTTTTCATTCCTCCAAATTACAAATAATTGCCTCTCAATAGACCAGTTCACGGTTAGCACATTACGGCAATGACCCCGAATATACACAGATCTTCAAAACATGAAGAGGTCCCACTTTGTACATTTGAAATAATCACTACTACAGCCATGGAGGTGCTATACAGTATATAAATAGCCTTTGTTTCCCCTTTTCAAAGAATACTTCCACCTGTGTATCATGGAGTGCACTGAATGTGCATGAATGCATAATTTTACATAACTTTCATGAGCACGTATCCAGTATTTCGTCTCCGTGTATGTCAAAATTTGTTCTGCAATGACCTTTATCTGCTCATACTCAGACTGCAACCGTGAACTGGCTTATAGTCTGAATATGAATTGCATACACTCATTGTAGCACATAAATTACAGCTAGCCATACGTTACGACTCACAATATATGCAATTTGCATGCTTGCTATTGAAACACAAATCAATAGCCAGGAGAATGAAATATTTTGTAACAAGGCGCTTCACAAATGGTATATGCATTAAATTGTTTTTTACAGTGAAAATGGCCAAATTGGCATGGTCTGTATTCTGTAACAAATGACAAGCCCTTAGTCCATTACATCTACATATCTACATGTAGGATATAATGTATAGTGCACTTAAAATACAAAATGACCACTCAATCATCATTTGACATACGTTTGGCAGGCACCACCCAAACAGGCCTAGCTGCAGAAGCTGCATTCTACCACATGCTGCTCGATCAGCAGGTTATGTCATTACTAGGCCTCTCTTCATCAGCTCGAGATCAATTGCCAAATATCCTGTTATTGAACTATCCCGATCGCAAATTATCCAGTTAATTTGCGTCTTCATCAGCCAGAAGTTGCAATTAGCGGGATATTTGGTTGAGATAATCATTCCAAATTTCCAAGATATCTTGGGATAGTTTGCAAAATATCCTGCTATATATCCGGTCAAATTCACCAGCCCGAAGACTCGCACTATGCGCCAACGCTGAGCAAAATATCTCGAGCTAGTTTCTCAAGGTCGAGTTTCGAGTTTTGAGGTCGAATCTCAGCTGATGAAGACGCGATTTGTAACTTCTGGATTTTTCCCAAATCAGAAATAGCGGGCTATTTGGCAATCTTGAGCTGATGAGGACATGCCGTATGACACAACAGTTACTCACAGCCAACCAATGGAATTAAAAAACCCTTTCGTTTTTCAGTTTTGTGGTTTTTATTAATCATCCAACCTTTAAGGATAACAGGCATAACAAAAATTATTTAAAAAAAATAATAAAAGATGATTGATCACTCTGAAATATCTCTCGGGCACTAAACAAAATGCAATTGTACTTTTATGAGGCTTTCTGCAGCAATCGTATTTTTGATTTACTTTGAAAATAATTTACAATTTAATTCAATAACAATTTATCAACAAATGTCGCATTCATTTGTGGATGAAAACAAAATCATTTCCGCTTCTACGTTCCTTCAATTCCCTCTTCTTTTCTTCTTTTTCTTTTTAATTTGCTTTGGGAAGTTGGTTAGGATACAACAGACATAAATGAAATGAAGACATTCTATAATTCTAGATCAAACACCGAAGAGTGCTAAAAAAATTTGTTCATCATAGAAAGTTTGGCATGAATTCAGTAACCACATGGATACAGAATCTAGCTATTTCTAATTATGTCAGACTGTCAGAGCTTTCCTATCATTGGCAGCCCGAAATGCCAAAAAGAGCCCCCGAAAGAAATAAAAGAGCCCAAAAAAATTTGCATAGAGTTCATTGCAAAACAAATTAAAGAGTGTTATTTTCATGCAAGCAAGCTTGAAAAGTAGCCCCTGAAATTTGTAAAGTATTTTCTTCCTCACAGCCATTAACAGTGCACAGTGCATTGCAAGAAATAAACCATGCCAGGTATCCATTTAAAACCTGAGTGAAGAGAGACAACTATAGATTAACTGCCTTTGATATTAAGGACATGCACATCAGACAAAGGCTTGAACCTTCAACCTTTTGACTGAGAGCCTAGTGATCGAAAGCACCACTAGACCATGGTGCATGCATTTTAACATGTTTGGCTATCCCCTTCGCCATGTGAACTGAACATGTGAACTAAGCAGGCTTTAGCATGTCACAATTACATCATCATGCCACGAACACAACAACCCTCATTAATCGTTTGCATTGTGTCAGTAAACAAATAGCACACCCTTTGGAGGTGAAGTCTAGTCTAGTTTCCAAACCATGCATGTGGTTTGTGTCTAGTATCCCTGAACTTCTGTCACCTTGACTTGTTTCACAATGTGATTGGAAAGGAAAGGGAAGGGAGGGTACTTTTCTTTAAAAGCCCTGCATGTGTACCTGTCTTTTTTAAAGGTAAATCTGCAATCTTGTGAAGATGGAAAATAATTTTTTTTCTTCATTTTTTTCATCAGAATGTCTACAACTACAAAAACACAATGAAATACTACAAGACAATAGAATTCAACATATCTGTATTTTTATTAATTCCTTCACAATATCTACATGTAATCAATGTAAGTTAGTGATAATCATTGTGTAAACTTGAAAAGCTATGAATGGAAAATACATGGCAGACTACGACTAAATGTAACTTGACAAATGATGGCGCTATAACTCAAAGCAATCTGACTCAAAATCCACTACCGGTATACCAAATTAAAAATAGTGATATATAAACCAGATTCCAAAAAACTTGAGTACAATTAATGTTCTGATTAACTATGGATATCTTTGCCGCAATAGTTGCTATTGATAGAGCTAAACCTTGCCAATGGTATACCCGCCGCTGCAGCACATTTATAAATACAGGTAGGCCTCTGGGGGAGAAACATCTATCACATAAAATAGTTTATGTACTCCTCCAAAAGACCAGTTCACAACAGACACTCCAAAAGCTTGCTAGGGTGCTTGTCAGACATAGCAACAAAGAATTTATGCACACAGCACTGTGATTTGCGAGATAGAATAAATCCAAAATGTTAATGCAATAGTTTGTCAAGTGCTAGGCTCTTAGAAAAATAAAACTTCCATAAACTGGAATATATGTGAAATCTTCTTTTTTTTTACAAATTAATCAGTAAAATATTTAAGAAAATGGACTACAATGTGGATGACACTGGAATGCAGTTAACTTAGTACAAAATAAAATTAAGTCCTTCACATTCTCCTACATAAAAATATAATTCTCTCTTTCAAATCTATCTATCGAATCATTCATTCATTAATACATCCATTTATTCATTCATCCATACATTCAGATTGTTAGCTTAAATATTCATGCAATGTCTTTCCTCCTTTCTTTCTTTCATTCATCTCTATATTTCATAACCTAAAAGCTCTCTCTCTCCCTTCCTTCCTCCTACTCTCTCCTCTATTCTCTTATTCTCATCCTCATTGTTGAAATTCTACATCTCTAGTCACACCTCCAATCCAAGTCGAAACAGACTGATAGCCTACTTAACCCTAAAAAGGCCGGGTTATTTTGGTGCCCTCTTAGCCAAGGGGGTGGGGGCGGTCATGGAGTGACAAAAAAAAGAAACTTGGCATACAGATAGAGTATCTCATAAAGAATAAGTCCATGAAGTTTCATATCTAGATCTCAAATACTTTTGAATCATTTCTAATAGACTAATAGTCACTATTTACATATTTGTGAATTGACAGTTCTTCATTGTGTACAATATACATGGGGAATGATCATTGTGGCTGTACCTGTTGGTCGAAATATTATATCAAAAGATGCGAAAGACTATGGTTGATAAGGTCCTGAAAGATTGTGGCACCACAAATAATTATCCTTGAACGTATCGCAGCGTGTGCGGAGGTGGGGATGGATTCTTTTATAGAGTTGATGTAGGCCATCCAGGGGAAAAAATACACATGGGCTCAGGCTGAATGAGCCCCCGAAATGCCAAAAAAAGCACCCGAAAGTCATAAAAGAGCCCCCAAAAATGTGCATAGAGTTCAATGCAAAACAAATTAAAGAGTGTCATTTTCATGCAAGCAAACTTGAAAAGTAGCCCCCGAAATTGTTTAAATATTTTTTCCCTGAGGCCATCCTGGGGGGGGGGGGGGGGTCTATTGTGGTTCTGGAATTGGTCTTGTTGGTGTGACTATGGTATAACGAAAATATAAAGAGGGTGCACATCATAATATAGAGTTAATGTGAAATAAATTTCCTTAGAATGTGAACTGACCTGAAGGTATGCAATGTCCTTGATCTTGTACTCCACTCCTAGAGTTTTGAAGCCCTCCGAGACCTGATTCAAAAGCTGGACAGCCGACAACAATACTGAAAATAAAATGATACAGCAAACTTAAAATTTCCGAGAGGCCACAACGTAGACACTCAAACTACAGCTAAAGAGCTGGCACATCTCCGTGTACTTTAAATTACTCTTGATGTTGAGACTCTAGATGTGTTTATCTCTTATAGGCTAAATGTTAACATTCACATTTTTGGGGGTGAAACTTTCAAATCTACCTTTTACATGATTCTATAAAAGAAGCTCAATTCAACCACAAGGAGCCAGACCATAACAGTCACAGAACATGCTAGACCTAGATACGCTATAATGGCAGCTGTGCTAAAGCCGGAGTAACAATATTTGAACGCCAAGAGTGGCAGTGCCTGATGTGAACACTATACAAGAACCCACTATTATTATTATCACTATTAACAGAATTTGAAGGGACTGATAAATTTCATTTCCTAAAAAGGATAACAATTTTTTTTCCTTCTCTCTCCACTACTTACAAGTTTTTCTCTGGGTTGGTTCCTGGTTGCCATCACATGCTATGTGGCATTGGCATCTGGCCAGTAGGAACTGGACACACCATCGGTCATAGAGAGACCCACTGGTCAAGATGGTTGGTAGGATGCTGTTTAGCAGGACCAGGGCATGGTTAGGCATGGACATCAAAATCTAATAATAATAATAATAATAATAAACCATTCTTATATAGCTCATATCACAGAAATAAATTTATGTCCCTATGCGCTCAGAAAAAAATTAAAAAAGGGATAATAGCAGACACGAGGGAAGAGAAGAGAAAGAATAACAGCTTTGTCACAACATTGTACTAATCTAACAAACAAACAAATGTGTCTTTAAAGGTATTACAAAGTTTTGGTATGGGGTCATGAATTTGGTTCATATTAACATAGTGGAAGCATAAACGATCCTTCAATATTCAGTGATCGTTGCCGCGGTTTAAAAACGAGTCTAAAGTGATGAAATTGTAAATAATAAACTTGTAATGTTGTATACCTCCCTCTGAAGGTCAAGATATCAATTTAGCTATAAAACAATGTTCTTGACTAAAATCGATCGATTAGCTATTCTCGTTTGGAAATTATATATCACAACTACATATTTTGAGATTTTCATGGTCGCAGCTACCATTGTATGTCCGAAGGCGCTATTTGAAATTAATCAGAATTTACCGGGAGCACTGGTAAATTTTGATATTCAATTTTTCTCAAGGCAGATGTGTTTTAGGGGCTAATTTTTCTAGTGCTTATAATACATCTACATGAGTATCCAAATACATCGAAATTGTAAAGAATCACTATCCAGCCAATTTTCGGAAATTCGCAAAACTTTGTATTACCTTTAAGAGACTCATAGACATAAACAAAATTGTAAATAAGGATGACACAAATTCTTCCCATCCCCCTCATCTCCCTCCCGACACATCACATGATGGCCCTTTTTTCAACCGAGGAGTAGGACAGTCCCCCTTCCTCATGACACCAGAGCCCTGTTTCATAAAACTTGTTATCAGTAACAAGTGCTAAATTTCTATGACAAATTTGCTCTCATCCAATCAAATGCCATGATTTCATTAGCTTTTAACAGTTATTGTTAACAAGTTTTATGAAACAGGAACCACTGCCCTTTCAATGGCTGGCCCCACACAACAGCAATGGAGATATGGAGATTGTATTACACATACTAATATGCCATGGCAAACATTTTGACATTTGAGCAATAACTAACCGTGGACCAAACACCATACCTAACTCTTAACATACAAACCTAACCCAAACCCCAAACCACAACACTCACTCCAAACCTACATCTATAACAAGTGTTGCCAGAGTATATGAAGAGTTTAATTCTAAAAGGAGCTAAGTAGTAAATCCATTTTTGTAACTTCAGAGAAAAGATAATTTTGTACCAGATTTTGTACAGGCGTCTATGGAATAGTGATATTAGAAGGTGCATTTTTTCATAACTGCTCCCAAAATTTAGGAAAATAATTTTGTTGAAAAACTGGGTACTTAAAGGAAACCAAAACCTTCATACTAAGTTACTTTTATTGTAAAGTTTAAAAAATTTGAATAAAATCAGTGAAAATTTGAACAAAATCGGGCAAGGAATAAGAAAGTTAGAACATTTTGAAATGACTAGTCACTAGTGGGTGGTATTCAATTTGATGACATCATCTGTGAACAACTCTCCATGCCTTTTGTACATAAAATTTCACAATTTTTTTGTTTTCTTCGTATTTATTTGTGTTCTTGATCCAACTTCATAACATGTGAAGTAGAATATCATTTTGCATTCTATATCTTGCTTTCAGGGGAGTACATTACCTCAATCACGAGAAAGAAGGAAAAACATGAAATTTGATGTACAAAAGGCAGTGAACAGTGAACAATGTTCTGATATCAATAACTAAATTTTCATCAAAAGTTAGATCTCCACTCATGCAGACACATACCTGTGTTTGGGCAAGATGAGCCGTTGCCATGGCAGCAAGGTACGTGAGATGATGATGATGGCAGATGGACCAGGCTTCTTGGAGGTTGCTGATACTCTTGATGGTTTCCTCTGATAGGATGTGGATTTGGGACACGACCAACAGAGATCTGGGGGTTTTTTCACAAAGATTCCAAGTTGAAGTTATCTCTAAGTTGGACTTAAATATTATTGAGAGCCATTTATAGCCTTAAAATAAAATATATTGCAACAGCGAAAATTGGAGTATTTTAGACTTTTTATAAATTCCACATTAAGAACATAAAATCTCCTTGATAACAGATAACACATTTTATGCCTTTTAAAATAACATTTACAAAATATTTTCATAGATGCTAACACATTTCCATAATTGTAAAGTCCAACTTAGAGACAAGTTCAACTTAGGATCTTTGTGAAAAACCCTCCTGAAGGGGGAAAAACGAAGAACTACTCAAGGTGAAACAGGAGTTGCTAATTTGTGTTGAATTGAATACGAAATTGTCTTCATAGTTTTCTTATCCTTTGTCAGATTATCCAAAAATGTCATTCTCTCGTTCCAGGATGTATCTTAGCTTAATTAATTCCAGAGTGGACTTCACCTTTACCTCGCATTTATTGCAAGATTCGAATAAGAGAATATATCAATATAATAAGCACACCCCAAGCCCTCTGAGAAATGGAAATGCAATTTCATGAGTATATTCACATCACTTTCCTCTGCAATATGTGAAGAGTTTCATTTTCATCCTTCTGCGGCCAACATCTGGGGGCAGATTTGAAAATGTACTGTCAAACCAAAAACTATTGTGTGTACAAATAATTAAGGCAATTTCACGAGTGATGCAGGAAATAATTGAATCACAACCGATTAAACACTGAATTCTTGCACTTCAAGAAAGTTTCTTGCCAACCGAATTGCTTTCCTTTACAAATCCCTCAAGTTCAGTATTATAAATGTTACTGGTTTTACAGCAGTGTTCACATTATACCAACTCACCTTGCATGAATCTCTGGTGTGAACCCATCCTTGCTTTCCTTTACAAATCCCTCAACTTCTGTACTACAAATGTTACTGGTTTTGCAGCAGTGTTCACATTAAACCAACTCACCTTGCATGAATTTCTGGTGTGAACCCATCCTTCTTCTCCTTGCATTTTGTGATGAGGAGGCGAAGCTTTTCCAGAGCCTGGGTGCGTTCTCCTTTACACACCTGAAGGACTGCTCTTCTACGGTGCCAAACAGAGAACAAAAAAAATATTGGAACGTAACTAGAATATCTTTAATAAGATAATGGTTGCATGACAATGATAAAAATTCAACTATTCAAGAGTAGGGTAGTTTACATGTATTTCACTTGAATAACACATTATTTTTTCTTGTCTTAGGAGTAAATCAAATTGCAAGTGGAGGTGAGAAAAGTGACCCTCTGCATAACATAGGCCCCAAGATGTACATGAAGCAAACTCAACTTGGATCTGGCTCTGCACAAGTACTACATTTGATCTAAAAGGACACACAGCAAATAGTTAGTTTGAAACAAGTATGGGCTAAAAGAAATGCCCCCCTTTTGAGAAAGAAAATTTGGAAAAATAGGGAAAATAAGGGAAAATTGGGGTAAAATCAGGAAGGAAGAAAAAAAATCAGGAAACCGATTTAAATTGCGTAATTATCAGGCCTGAGCACTTCACTTATACTAACCTAAGATCCAACGCTACATCGTCTATTGCAGCAAGATTATTGATAGCCTCTTGTGCCGATGCCCAGTCCATGTGAAATAGCGCCCTCTGGAATGCAATCTCATGTTCACAATGCTGCCATATCTGTATCAACAAATGACATCAATAAGTCATTTCGTAAATACTATCTGCGCATGGGCAGATAAAGGTCATTTGTGATAAAATTGTAAAACCCACCGACATGAATACATGCTCATGTTATGTAAACATTATTCAGTACGGTACATTTTATGATACAAGAGGGCAAACAAAAGCTTTTCATGAAGCACATACATGACTTTGACATGGCATTAATTATTCTAAAATACACAAAGTGGGACTTCTCCATGAGTAAAAGATCTGTGGATATTTGGGGTCATTTGACCCATGTGCTAACTACGTAATGGTCTATTCATTGGTAAAAGTTTAATTTCAAATTTAATTCATTTCACTTATAACAACCATCACAAAGGCATAACAAACAGAGTTCAAGCCATATCCAGAAACAGGATATCAGAAGAGAGAAAAAAGTAGAGACAGGGAAGGGATGATCTTCCAACTTGAACCCCCACCCCCCCCCCCCCCAAAAAAAAGTAGTTAGTTGTTAAATATTGTCTCTACTTCAACATTGAAATGTATGAATATATCTAGAAGCGATTTTAACAACATGCAAAAAAGAGTTGGCAATCCAAGTGCTAACATGTATTTTAAGTGTCCTACGATAATCCTGGCAAAAACAACAGTTCATCATAACATTTGTGTCCCTCACATCCACAACAATTTATAAATGCAACAATATCAGGGAGCTAAGAAGATGGTTAAACAATTAAGCATGAAAAGAGACGAGATGGACCATGAAATTGGGGATTGTTTTACCTTGGCATGAGATGTCATTGGAGGAAACCTGGTCTTAGCAAACTTGAGGATATCTGTGGCTATGGAGAACTGCCCTCTATCGGCCTGCTGCCTCGCCTGGTTGCAGACCGCTAGGCAGAAGGACTCACTGTCCACAGCAACGCTGTTGTTGGGGCTCCGGGTGGAGAACATGTTCAGCAGGAGCTGGTCACTCAGAGATGACATGATTCTGAAAGGAGCAAGGAAGATACTAGGTTAAAGGTACAATGTCCCATTTTCGACCAAAAAAATGAAAAGGGTAAATTCCAATTGCATTTGAAAGATGATACTAATTAAGAACTTCCCTCAAAACGAAAGGGTTTGAAAAATGTCTTTTAGTGGGAAAAAAAACAAGCAATTAGTTGTCGAATTGACTTTAGTGATTGCAATCACTAAAGTAATAGTCTGTTTTTCAGACCCTTTTACCGAATGGTCGTACGTTTTGTGCTGCCCAAAGATTCAATCAGTTTAATTTTAGCCATTACAAGAACTGGGTTATTGATGTACACAAATGACCATTTACCTTTACAGCTCATTTTATGTATTTTATTACCAAAGAGAACACAAAAAAGTCACTTACTCACTCAATAGTGTTTGACAGTGAAGTACAGAAAGTAAGCGGGTTTCCTTGCATAATTTGAATATTAAGACACTGCTAACATTTAAATTTCACAGATAGGACATAAATGACATATTCATAATTCCTGCATAATTCTACAGAGAGAGGAGTTGTTGATGACAATGATAATGTTGATGATGGAGTTGATGATGATGATGATGATGTTGATAATGATGATGATGCTGATGATGATGATGATGATGATGATGATGATGATGATGATGATGATGATGATGATGTTGATAATCATGATAATGATGATTATGATGATGTTGATGTTGATGTTGATGTTGATGTTGATGATGATGATGATAATGATGACGATGATGATGTTGATAATGATGTTGATGATGATGGTGATGTTGTTGGTGATGATGATGATGATGACGATGACAATGATGACGATGATAGCGATGTTGAAGACGATGACGATGGCGATGATGATGGATACTCTCTAACAAATACACTATTGTATACACCTATATGAAAAACAGAACCGACTATCAATAATAACTACAATATCATTGTCACCCATACATTATTTAAAGACAGAGCAGTTTAACTTTAACAAACACAAAGAGGATAAAGTATATTTGAATTTCATACTACCCTCTCTTCATTTATTCTGACTGTAGAAATTGACTTAGAGACTTCGGGGGGAAGGGCTTTAACACCCATTTTTTAAATTATTACTGTTGTTGTTGTTGTTATTGTTATTATTATCATTATTGTTTGGGTATAAGAATGTAGTTACATTTGGATGTTGACCTACCTGTGTCCATACATGAACCAGAGAGCTGATTGCTGGGCTAAACTGGTTGAAACCAGTTGGGGCTGGTTGTGCTGGCAGTTGACTGCATCTGTCCGAGCCAGGAAGTAAAATACACTGAGAAAGAAAGATAAGGAGAGTGAGAGACCCAAAATAAGTCAATTATTGGTGGATAGAAAGATAGTACAGACACATGGAGAGAGGAGGAAAGACAAAGAGAACAGTAAAAAGAGATTGAGAGAGGCCCGAGAGGGAGGATGTGAACGAAGTGGCACTGTTCCCATTTGAACTAAAAATCATGAAAGTGTTAAATATCTTTTTCTATTTTCAAGCTTGAAGTGAACGCACATATCCATTTATAAGGTTTATCTTGTACAAGGTACATGTACATCAATATCAAAAACTAATCATGCATTTGTAGCACAAAGGCCAACTGGTATTGTTCGAAATTCCTGCTAAAATATCAACCATACCACAAATAAATATAATAAAAGTAGCCTTATTGGTGATGGAGGCTCATTTTCACCAATATTCAACACATTTTAACCATAAATTGCATCATCACTGTAATCACTATTAGTGATACAAGGATATGATCAGCCCTTTAGCAAAGGAGAACACTGACTTTGAGAACACACTTACCTTGAGGGCTCGACACCATGTAGAGCTTGATTCTTTGTATGGTTTTGCATGTCTAGGCACGTCAGGTACTAAAAGAAAGGAAAGAGAACAAAGGTATCGAAAAAATGAATAAGAAAAAAAAGGGGGGGGGGCGAATGCACCATGAAAATTTCGCAACTGTTAAGGATGGCCATTTTCAAAGCTGTATTTCATGCACACAAGTTTCTGTTTTTATAGTAGTCAAGATCTAAACCTATCGGTAGACAAAAGTTCATGTACGCCTTCATGAATTCTTGCTTCTATATTTGATTGAATTCATTTAAGAATTACAAGGGGGTGAATTTCAGCTGACCTGTCGAATCTTTACAAAATAATTCACTGCGCAAACGTTGCATGACCTCCCCCTCCCCCATCCCTTATTTTTTGTTTTACTAAAAACTCATTTTGGGGGGGAAACTTACAGGAAGATGGAGTTCAGCTGACTTGGCGATGGAATGATCTAGGATATCAGATACGTCCAGGCCTTGCTTCTGCTCCAGTCGATACAACCAACCCTGGAAAAAAAATGATTAGATCCAGGATGTACACAGTCAAAACATTAATATAGAAACAAATGCAGAATAACACTTCAAAGATCTACAGTAACCATAACCCTGACCTAAGAGCCTAACCCTTAAGGGGCTGTCGCATGACGAGACTATGTGTCTTTCCCAAGGCCCACTCGGGGAAAATGGGGTATAATACGACTACACCCCCTTTAATACATTGTACTGATGCTCGGTATTCTGAAGTTCAGCCATGTGAATTAATCAGTTCAGGTAGGCATGTAAAACAATATCAACAATAACAAAAAATGAAACGTTTGTAAATTCTACTACAGTCTTACATGTAAAAGTAAATTTGGTGATTTCTGTTGTGTGTGTGTGCCTTGCTTCTGCTTGAACAGAACCAGCCAAACCCGGAAACAGAAATACGTGGAAACCATCATGATGGTGTGGAGTCAAAGTGTGGATTTATTCATAGTCCTTTAAGGATTGAAATTAAAGACAAATCTAGTAAGGAATTAATGGCAATAACTTGTCCAGGCATGATAGTGAGCACAAAAAACTCACCCCCCCCCCCCCCTTGAGTAAAAAAAAAAGATTCAGGGGGAAAAAATGGCATCCAACAACATTACCCCCCCCCCCCCCCCCCCTTTGAGTGAGAAAATTGAGATATTTGGGGGAAGTAGGGGGAAATATGGACAAATCAGGAAGAAAAAAATCTGGAAAAAAATTGAAAAACCAGGAAACAGATTTAAATCGAGTAATTATCAGGGCTGCTTGTCTTACTTACCAGTGCATGCTGGAGACATACGTTATCATTAGCTTGGTGAGCCACACGTATGGCCTCCTTTAGAACCAACATGGCCTCCTCTCTGAAACATAGAAACAGACCAAGCTCAGTCGATTAGACTTAAACATAAGGTTGCATATTGGTATGTCATAATGCACCGGAACAGTGACAGATACAGCCAAGAAAATATTTGGAAAGGTTGGTTGTGAAGTACATCAGAACCATCATGTATTATAAGCAGAGATGCCAACCTTTTGACACAAAAAAACAGACTGAGTATCCTAAAAAATTAGATTTTGGAGAGAAAAATCAGATTTTCACGAAAACTCGACACTACCAATGAATGGCCAGTTGATCCCGGGCCAGTCAAATTTCAGAAAAATGTGATACTGGTCGTACGGTCAAGTAAAATGTTTGCTCTTTCATTAAAATTTTAAAAGAAAATTGTAAAGCAAAGTTTCTGTTGGGGTTGCAGGGGTTTACTTGTACATGTTTCTATGCGATTCTGTGGTTTTTATGGGTATTAAAAAAAAAAAATTAACAAAAAAAATTTAAAAAAAATAATTTGTTTGTTTTTGTTGTTGTTGTTGTTGAAAAATCGTATTTTAAGAGGTGATATCGTATTATCATATTCCACTCTTATTATTGTACTAAATACGATTAAATCGTACTGGTTGGCATCTCTGTATAAGGTTCTGGACTCATCAAAATAACAAAAACTCCGGTAAATCTTGATTAAAATCACATAGTTACAATGAAAAGAATTGTAAACAAATATGGGTATGGGTGTGGGTGTGGTATGTATGGAACTACACGAACAGGTGGCATTGACTTTGATCAACATTGCACATAGGAACTTTCAAAAGACAAAGTCTTTTAGGTATATTCTGAATCAAGATAAGGGTTGGACCAGCATCTTTAACTTACTTGTGACCGAGTCGGCAGTGCAGCCCCGCAAGATTGAGGGCAGCATAACGGAAGTTCTGCCGCACTTGCTCCTGATCGTTGTTGTTGCTGTTGGAGTCACCTTTGACCTGGGGCATCATGTGATCAAAGTAGCAGTGGAGGTTGTGAACGGCACCGCAAAACTCTTTGATCCGGAGACAGTTGAGGTAGGATAGATAATACTGCATGCATTCACAAGACAAGATCAGTTAATAGACACATGTTATTGTAAATCAGTGAAGATAATCATAAATAGGATCCACAAATATATTTTGAGAGTTTGGTGATAATCGAAAAAAAGCAACTTCTAATACAAAGCATTGGCAAAAAATTGTAAAAGGCTTGTCAACAGAAGGTTCACAGACTTGTCACTTGTCAAAAATCATTGGAATGAAAAAGGGGTATCCTAAACTAAAATTTGGGATACAAGGATACAATATTTAAAAAACCTAAAATGGGACCCTAAATAGTCCATTCCTAATCTGAGCTAGTAATCAAAAAGCTATGGTTTCCTTTCATGAATAAACTTAAACACTGCAATAACATACAATTTCAAAAACTTTCATAATGTTTCAAATCCAACAGCGAAGTTACGTGGTCATTGGGAACTAAATGAATGCTTTCACCTGGTATGAGATGACTACTTGATCGTTTGATATTTTCAACTCATCCATGTTTTTCACAATCAATCCTCTGTGGATTATTAAAGTAACCCAACAAGAAAGTGAAGTCATGGGAATATATAAGAAAAAGTGCTAGTTACCGTTTCTGCAAGATCAGGGTTTTTGAGAGCAAGTTCATTGATCTGTTTCTGAAGAACATCAGGGGGTAGTGCCTTGGACTCGTCGTTCTGTAGAAAGTTGGCTTGTTGAGTGATGAAATGTTCCGCTTGCCGATGGGTGTAGGTCTTCTCAGATGGAAGGTTAATATGTCTGTGGCAATAAAGACAAAATATATTGTTATTTGGATGACATTCATTCCCTTACACAAAAACACAGTCTAAAGGTATTCCTTTTGAGAAGTTTGGTGGTATGTTATTTAGTGAAAGGTAAAATATTAACGACATATTGGAAATTTGAAAAGCACAGAATTAACACTCATTGCTGGTGCTTGTGCGTATCTCTCTGTTGACTAAAACTGTTTCATCTGACAACATTGTTGTAAATCAATAACATTTTACAATAATAATGCATTTAATATCTTAGGTGTCTTAATACAAATGTTAAAATGACCATGTTGGTAAGGTACGTGTCTCCAAGAAGGGAGGGAACTATTTGGAGCTCTGTGATTTGGCCTACAGACCACATGCCTATTAATGCTACAACCATGTCGCTTAATTAGGTATGGATGTGGCTTTCTATGCAAACATCTGGGATGCCAGTTAGAATTGATCAGAGGGCCTGAAAATCATCTAGAATGGGCCATTTTGTACACAAAAAAAAGCCTAAACTATGGTCTGAAAATAACTTGCCAGGCCCGGAATTCAGGCTATTGCCTGAAAACTTGCATCCCTGAAACATGACTCTAACTTACGATTCATGGGGATTGCCGAAACCGGTCCCTTCCAGCTCTCTCCTTGTCATCTGCGTGCCGTCCGTCTCCATGCTCACGTCCATGTCTACCTCACTGATACCGTCTTCCAAGCTGTCCACGGTGCTCCCGTCCCCTCCTTGTCCCATGGTGGTGGCGGTAGACTCCTCCAGGGAGGGGGCGTCGCTGGTGGTGTATTTCTGGAGGGAGGAGTAGAGCCGCATGGTTTGACTGAAGGACAGCTTGTCATACGTCAGCACCATACGACGCAGGAACATGCCTGGCGATGAAAGAATAATGATAACATTCTCCTTAATTCACAGAGAGCACTAACATGTATCAAGAGATCATAAATTATTAAAACAAAAACAATTAACTTTACAACAGTATATAATAATAATAATAATAATAATAGTAATAGGCATTTCTATAGCGCCGTCTATCTAGAAATTCTATTCCGAGGCGCACTTATTATTACCCCGGCTTTAGCCTAGCTGCCTTGCCAAAGGACATTAGTGCCGTGTCGGGGATCGAACCACAACCTTTGAATTACAAGTCAAGTGCTTAAACAACTCGACTACAACACTTATACATCTGCTTTTCATCCAAACAACACTATGAAAATAGTTTTTATACATACAAATCTAAATCTAGAATGTGTTTAATACACATTACTTGCAAAGTCTGAACTACTGGTACATGTAAGTGATTAGAGTTAGTCCACATATTTATGTTGAGTGCTAAATCTCAACTTCTTCCTCATCTTATATAAATCCCCATTAGGTTGAACTCCGGCTGCTTTGAAAACCTGGGCCCTGTTTCATAAAGCTTGTTATCAGTAATAACTAAGTGTCAAAATATAATGACAAATTTACTGACCGCCAAACAAAATCAGTTATTTCAGTAGTTTATAACAATTAGTGAACTTGTCACTGATATCAAGTTTTTATAAAAACAGGGCCTGGATCATTATGTGCAGCTACGCATAACAACTGTACCTATGATGCTTTGTCTATGGACTGGCGCTTCCCCGTTGGAGCTGTCTAGAAGCTTGTTGAGTGAGGAGAAGAATTCATCCATCGATGAAAGGCTGCTAGTTGTGGTCTCTCGCAAGCTAGTGCCACAGAAAATGAAGTAAAAATAAATAAAATATCATGAATAAATTTGCTATTCATCCACCAAGTCCTAGGACTTTCATTGTATTATTATAAATTTTATGTTAATTTATGTTCCTTAAATTTGATTATCTAAATGTAATTTTCTTCTTGATAAGGAATTATCCTTCTTGATAAGGAATTATATTTGAATAATGCCACATTACTGTGATTTAATAAAGTATTTACATGTACTTCCAATTTTCACCAAACATATAGGTGTCTCTACCCCCCCCCCCCCCCCAAATACTCCTCTATCCAAGTCGGTATAGCACCCACATGGTATAATTAATCTTTATATGAATGTCAGTTGACTTTCATATATTTCAAGACAAGATCATTTTAGTAAATTTTATCTACATTTGCATTTGTCTCAACCTACATGTATGTGTGGACCAGTTCACATTTCTTCTTAGACTGGTCTTCATGTACAGGTTTTACAATATTAATATACATTAATTAAGGGTGCTGCAATCTTACCATTCTTTGAAGGCTGTTTCCAACTCTGGATGAATGTCCCTTATCTTGGTAATAAACTCATCATATTCCATGTCAGACCCCTGGCAATAAGAAAGGGACAAAGAAAGAAGAGAAAAAGAAGAGAAAGCAAACATCATCATCTAGATATTAGAGAAGGTAGATCCTGTAATCCTTGGTCACTAAAGAAGCGAACAAGGATTACAATTAGAAGAACAAAATTGATATTGAGTCTCAATGCATGAAAAATAATACAAATTTATGATCTAGCAACGCAGCATTTAAATATGGTGGCTCTATGACACAAACTCCAACTAAAATTCCTACACTAAATTAAATTCCTGGCTCTGGACAAAACATTTAATCTATTTCAAAGAAAGAAATAAAGACACAGAGAATCTGAGATAATATACTTTTAGCAAAACTGCTTCAGCAGTCAAATCATGGGCAGTCTATAACAGATTGAATCTGGAGGCCCATATCCCACCAAGCATAATTAATTATGGAAACAGTGCAAAGAAAAAAGAATTAAAAATACATAGATCTACCCACAAGTCCTGGGTCCAGACTCCAGAGAGTTTGATATCTGGAGTCCGGGGGCCCGTATTTAGAAACCGTCATAAGTCGAACTTCTTGACTATCCCATTGAAACGTGTGTTAATTCTATAACACCCGTTTCAATGGGAGAGTCAAGAAGTTAGACTTATTGCGGTTTCTAGGAATGGGCCCCTGGCCATTTTTATTTAAAACTATAATATTGTACTTTCACAGTGCTGTAAGTCAGACGCTGTGTTCGTGTTCAGTTCGGTTCGGTTCGGCAGAGTTCGGCAATTTTTTCACCCGAACTTGGTTCAGTTCGGGGTTCGGTAATATAATAGCAAGCAGCGTTATAGCCACGGCGGGCCGCCCGGCCTTCCGGGCCCGACCAGCACGGAGGTCTGCTGCACACTGCCACCGACCAGCACGAATTTCACATTAAAAAACTGCTCTAAACGTAATTATTTGTGAAGAAAAATACTACTTACATTCGTATTTCCGTCTTGAATCGTGTTTTATTTTCAATTTTAAAAGAATCATGTTTTCAATTTGTCAATAAATGATATTCTTTAAAGATTTTCCGAGACGGTTGTTGTCAAATGTCATGAAAGCTGCCATCTTGAATAGAGAATTCAGGCTGGTCAATAACTGTTTTTTAAAAGTTTTTATTTTCAATAGGAAAAATATAAAAACCCTATTTTTCCTGAATAAATAAATACCATACTGTAATAAATATTTATTTCATTATTTATATTGTAAAATTTGTCCGATATTGTTACAATTCAAATATTAATTTGAATGGGTTTGAGCTGAACTTGTTTTGATCACGCACATGTATTCTTGTTTATGGCTTGCGATCGAGACGTAGCGTGGTCAGGATTTGGGATTTAAATGGCGCCAGTGAAGTCGCGCCCACCACTGGATAGGCATAAATCACAAAGGCATAAAATGGGGAAAAGTAAATATAAAATGAGCAATCATGACATGAAAATTAGGTACAAAATGACAAGTTTATTAGCTTGCAAAAACGTTTACATTTTTCTGCCGAACATCCGAACCAGACCTTTGCGTTCGGTTCGGTTCGGTTCGGTTCGGAAGTGCCATGTTCGGCGAACTTCCGTTCGGTTTGGCGGTTCGGCTACAGCACTACTTTCACACTTACATGTTATCATGTATGGCCAAGGATCTATAATAAGCTGCGCCCCCGCAAATATGTGAAACGAAATGCACCAAATACAATGCACCAAATACAATGCGCCAAACTTCTGAGGTGACCGAGAAATGTGAATAGACCCTATCTGGGGTTGCCCCCCTCCTCCAAATGAGATTTTTTTTTTTTTTTTGGGGGGGGGGGTATATTTCTTGTCATAGATCTATTATCATTTGTTTCAAATCAAGGTGAAAGTCACATTTGCCAGCCAAAAAATAAGAGTAGATCCAGATCTATTTAGAGTCTATTTTATTTTGATTATTCATAAATATTTCAATTTTTCATTCATTTGATTTTGAATATAAAGGATTTCTCATTTAATCAGGATAGGTGAGTAGATTTAGATCTAGATCTAGACTCTAGTCTAGGTCTAATATAGACTCTAGACTCTAGGTCTAGGAATAGGTCTAGTGTAGTAGTAGTAGTAGTAGACCGAATTTTCTGTCTCTTTCGTTCGTTAGCCTCTTATTGGGGTAGGCTCGGCTCTCTCTTTAGAGACGGAAGCCGACTATACACATTTCCTTGCTAACACCATGGCCATTTATGGCCATATTTTTATGCCCCGAAAATCCCCCCAAATGTCATTTTACCTCGTGCTTGTTATATTGTAAATTAGGCCTAGGCTATAATAAATTGGTTCCACTTACCAACTTGACTGAAATAATCAGTTTAATGGTCCCTTTTTAGGAAAATATGGGTCAAAATCGAAATCCATGTTAAAATACGTCTTGCAAGATAGAGTCTAGCCTAGTAGTAGACCTAGATCTAGACCGAAAGCTTCAGTCTCTATAATCGTCGGTTGTTCCACTGAGACTACGTCTGGCTCCACTAGACCTCCGGTTATAGAGACTGAACGACTGCCTATGCCAGCCTGTGTTGAACTTATTCCGCTAGATTTTAGCCGCTAGGCCCCTCCCACAAACTTGCCACGGCCGTATTGTTATGCCCCCAAAATCCCCCAAAATGTCATTTTACCTCGTTCATTTCCAATTTTAAATTAGGCCTAGGCTATAATACATCGGTTCCACTTACTAACTTGATTGATATAATCCGTTTAATGGTCCCTTTTAAGGAAATTATCGGTCAAAATCGACATCCATGTTGAAAATCTTGCAAGCCGTGTTAAACTCTCGCTGCCGTCAATCTCATCCCTTCTAGTCTACGCCGAAGGCAAAATGATTATGAAGGAAAAACTGTGCGCCATCTACACGTTCGTAATGGCGTTATCACAGTTTTTCCTTCATAATCATTTTGCCTTCGGCGTAGACTAGAAGGGATGAGATTGACGGCAGCGAGAGTTTAACACGGCTTGCAAGATTTTCAACATGGATGTCGATTTTGACCGATAATTTCCTTAAAAGGGACCATTAAACGGATTATATCAATCAAGTTAGTAAGTGGAACCGATGTATTATAGCCTAGACCTAGGCCTAATTTAAAATTGGAAATGAACGAGGTAAAATGACATTTTGGGGGATTTTGGGGGCATAACAATACGGCCGTGGCAAGTTTGTGGGAGGGGCCTAGCGGCTAAAATCTAGCGGAATAAGTTCAACACAGGCTGGCATAGGCAGTCGTTCAGTCTCTATAACCGGAGGTCTAGTGCCTTTACTGACTGAGCCAACTCGCCTCCTCATTAAATAAAGTCTAGATTCTAGATCTTCTCTTGACTGCCTGCAACCAGCATGCTCCCGGCAAAATTAACCCGCAAAAGTCAGCAATTAAAACTGAGGTCGTCGCGGGCCAGCTGCAAGGCATGGCAAAGCCGCCTCCACAGGCTATGGCAGAGCTGAGCATGAGCAGCAGCCTGCAAGTGCTAGTGTTACAGTCAGTCAAACCATGCCAGCGAGCCAGCGGCAGTCGGAGTAGGCCGCGCCCGAGCCTGAGCGGGCTGTGCCGTGAGCTAAAGGGGTGTAGTGCCTTACCTGAATCCATTCCAGCACAGACCTTGCAAAATTACGCGAGACCCGGGGATTCCACTTTTTCCTTCCAGACAGTTTAGCCGATTTCCCATAATTCGAATATTCATAAATCAAAATCAGAAGTGAAATCTTGTGTGGGGTCACCATTTTTGCAAAAAGCACAGTTTTCAATGATGAAACACAATATCAAATGTTACAAATTTCGTAAAATCCGCGGAAATCAGTGGAGTTTCAAGATTGAAATTGCAAACTAAATCTTCCAACAACCCAAGCTGCTTACAGCTCCTGCGTGGCCGATATAAATATCTTTAGTGATTTTTTTTTAAATTTCGTTTTTATTCCCTAAAACTAGTGTGTCTATTTCTTCATAACAAAGTGAATAAATGAATTATATGATCGATTTATGCATTTATATATTCATTCATTGATTTATTTGTTCATGTATTCATTCATTTATATAGTAGGCCTACTTTCCTTAAAGGTATTACAAAGTTTTGGTATGGGGTCATGAATTTGGTTCAAATTAACATATTGGAAGCATATACGTTCCTACAATATACATTGATCGTTGTCGCGGTTGAAATCGAGTCTAAAGTTATGAAATTATAAATAATAAACTCTTTATGTTGTATAGCTCCCTCTCAAGGTCAAGATATTAATTTAACTATGAAACAATGTTTCTTGACTAAAATCGACCGATTAGCTATTCCCGTTTGGAAATTATATATCCCAACTACATATTCTGAGATTTTCATGGTCGCAGCTACCATTGTACGGCCATAGGCGCTATTTGAAATTTATCAAAATTTACCGGGAGCACCGGTAAATTTTTATATTCAATTTTTCACGAAAACAGAAGTGCTTTAGGGGCTTTTTTTTTTAGTGCTTATAATACATCCACATGGGCATCCAAATATATCAAAAATTGTAAAGATTCACTATCCACCCAATTTTCAAAATCTCCCAAAACTTTGTATTACCTTTAAAGGTAAAGACCAGTTATGGTCATGTGATTGCATTGTGAAAGAAACGTTGTGGAATCGATCAGAAAAGGTTGATCATAGCATCTAGCATCTGCAAGGTTCTGGAATCATCAAAATGATAAGAAATTTGGCCCATTCTTTGTAAAGTTACAAGCACTTTACACAGAAAGATGTATATGGGACTACCCTATATCTCTCACAGTCAAATAGATATAATAATTTACCAAATATTAGTAGGCGGTTTCCCGGCAAATTTGTTATCATCATGTATTAGTCAAAACATATTCTTTCACATGATTGGTAATGAGAGCTTCCATTTCATTTTTTGAAATTGGGGCGTTTCCCATACTGATCTTTACCTTTAAAATGTTCTCTTTTTTTTTATCCTAATAGTTAACTTCTTAAAGTCATCTGCCATTCCCATTCTTACTCTAGAAAATGTTTCAGAAACAGTACAGCCGATGTGATATCGGAGTTGTTGTTTTAAGACACCATTATGTCATATAGTTGATCGAGGCCCCTGATATTTATTTTAAAGAATACAGACTTGCAAACCAAGTCATAAAAACGATGGCCATCATGAAAAATAAAATAATCTGCTCAGCCTCTAAAAAGGAGTTTGACAATCAAAGAACTTTAAAATGAATGTGATTTCTTGTAACTAGATTTGTCAAAATAGTACTCATTATTATAAACTCTGTTTCTATTTTGTATCTAACAAAACAAAACAAAGGTAAAATACTATAGAGTACAATATGAAATTATAAATAAATAAATGAATACAAATCACAAGTTCTTATTTGTAACACGGGCTAGACATTAGTATTGAGGTATAGAATAATTAAAGGGGAGGAAGGCGAAACAAGGCAGGAGAGATATAGATAGACTCAAGGCCTAGAACTATATGTAAATGTTGCAAAATCGTCAGTTATGAAATATTATTCTTGAATATTCTTATTATTGAAATATTAATAGTTATAAAATTTTTCTCGCTCGCTTCGCTCGCTCGTAAATGCATATTCAGACATCACACCCAACTGTATAAAGTATGATGCTTAAGCGATATCTTGTATGATGTATGAAGAGAAACAAATATTGAAATCATCCCTGATAATGTAATCACAATGTAGGGGTATATACCAATGTCTAAAAAATTGTATATTTTCGCTTTGAGATTTCCCACTGTAGGTGCCCTTTTTTTCCAGAAAGTGCCCTTTTTTGTTGGTGCCCCCCCCCCCACTTTGGAAGTCGCTCGGCCGCCCCTGCATGAGTTCCTGAACGCTGGCGTACTGAGTGGGGGGTATTTCTTATTCGATACAAGTGATTTACTAATGATGCTAAAATGACATGATTATCCGGTATTTTTTTTTGGTTTTGTAAGTCATACCTTTCAATTTATGCATTTGTTGAAAAATTAGAAATTCCCAAATTTACAGTCGGGCGAAAAATATGCATTTTTAGAAGGCTTATATGTCATGGTCTGCAAAACGGCTGGGCTCGGGGCTCGAGCCCCCATAACTTTTTGAAAAAGTAGAGAAAAAGAAAGAAAGAGAGAGAGAAAAAATAAGTGACCTGCCAATGTCACAAATGAGGTATCAAATTATGCTCATCTGACCGTAATTAAATACCTAAAATCCCAGAGCTTCCGGGGGCTCTGCTCCCTGGACCCCACCAAAGGCCCTAAGGCGGGCCCCTGGATGCTCATCTAACCGTAATTAAATACCTAAAACCCCTGAGCTTCCGGGGGCTCTTCTCCCTGGACTCTCCGCCAATTAGTGACCTGCCAGTGTCACAAATAAGGTATCTAAATATGCTTATCTGACCGTAATTTAATGCCTAAAAACCCTGAGTTTTCGGGGGCTCAGCCCCTTGACCCCCCTGCTGAGGCTCATCTGGACCCCACGCCAATTTACGCTCTATACCTGATCATTAATACTCCAGTTTGAAAAACGTTCCGTGGGGCCTGCATAATGTTACGTCTAAGAGTGGTGCAATGGTGATGCAGATTTTTCTTCTGCCCCCCCCCCCAACACTTCCAAACGATTTTTCTCATTGCGTCACTGCCCCTTGGAGTCTTTTTGGTCAGACAAACACTTTTTTATAGAATAGTCTGACATCCACGCATAGACCTTTACTAATGTACCAAGTGATCTGACCGGGACTGACTTCCATGATACCCTTTACTCCCGTATAGATGATGATGATGATGATGATGTAAAGGCTAGACATTATTATTGAGCAGGCGCGTACGCAGGATTTTTTCAAGGGGGGGGGGGGTGGGGGTGGGGGGGGGGGGGTAAGAGGACATTTTTTTTTTTTTTTTGGTCTCGAAATTTGAAAAATTGACATTTTGCTCCGTTGGGGGGGGGTGTAAGTAAGGTCAGCTTTGTTAGGTCAGCCTTGGGAATATTTGTTTTGTTTTGTTTTGTTTTTTAATTTTAAAAAAATCCAAAGGGGGGGGGGGGTAGGGGGTTATGGGGGGTTTACACATAGAAAAATACCAAAAGGGGGGTTAACCCCCCAAACCCCGACCCTGTGTACGCGCCTGGTATTGAGGTATAGAATAATAAATTAAAGGGGAGGGCGGCGAAACAAGGCAGGAGAGATATAGATAGACTCAAGGCCTAGAACTATATGTAAATGTTGCAAAATCGTCAGTTATGAAATACTAGTCTTAACTTAAAACAAAATCTCAAAACTGGCACCGGTAAATAATCGTACAAACACAAAATGAGGGAAAAAATCATTAAGGACTTTATCCATATTGCAAAACGGCAACGCGTTCTTGTAGCCTGACTTTTGTATATAGTCAGAAACTTCAACAGTATATGAGATTCGCATCACTGAGAGGGTATGCCTACCCACTGAGAGTTGATCAAGATCAAGAATGGCATCAAAAGAAGAGCGAAAACAGGCAAGTTAAACTTTTTCATCACTTTTAAATTCCATCATCACTTGTATAGAGTCTCTCTTAATCTTTGTTTCATTGAACATAAGATGGATTTCAGGCCTGAGTTAAACCACTCCATCAAAGCGGAGAGTCGCGATTATCTTCATCACCATGATTGAAGCGGCACTTAACTGGAAGAAGTCAATGCTAATGCGTTCATCAAAACCGAGCGGATTAGGCCTAGCACTAAGTAGCAGTAGCAATAGCATTTCTCGCTCCGTTTAACCGTTATTTGTTTACATTTTGGAATGTGCTAATAGCCGATAATAAAGTAACAAAAAAACCACAGTGTAATGTTACAGTGGCAGCTGCAGTAGACAGCAATAACCATCTGATTTGGGTCATTTCTTTAATAAAACTGACATTTGTTGTCATTCCCCAATACAGATGGCAACCCAGAGATCTCGTACCGTGGGGGTAGCTATAGCCAACAATGGCAGCTTTTTTTGTCAAAACATTTTCTCCCCGATTTTCTTTATTTAGATCTAATTTTCTGATTTCTAAATCAGATGTAAATTAGGTCGGTATGTCATTTGTCCTAATTACATCTACATGAGGTGGTACTGGACAGGACCAATTGGTATATACGTCCAGATTTCCGTGGCATCGCAAACTGTCAACAAACATCACAACTGATGCAAAGTTCAAAAAACAAAATAATAAGGTGCTCATAAAATGAGTGGGTTGTAGACATCATCTAATTTATAGATGAAGTAGAGCCACATTGACGCTCTATCCCGCCTGTGTACAGCTGGGCTGAGTGGTCATTCTGCATGTAGCTCCAAACTTTGGTATTGAAGGACTTGGCCGATGTTGACTCTTTGATGATGGTGGCTGGTAGTCGATTCCATTGCTGAATGGTACGAGGATAGAAGCTGTTCTTGTATGCTTCGGTCCTGGCAGAGTAGTTGATGTACTGGCTTGGTCTCTGACTATGGGTGACTGGTCTGTTGGGGTTGTTGGCGACTGGGATAAACTTCTCTGGGATGGTAATCGGGAGTTCATGAGAGTTGATCTTGAACAGCATGGTAAGACGTGCAACTGTCCTCCTATCTTGAAGTGAAGGCCACTTCAGCTCCTGCAGCATCTGGCTGACGCTAGCCGTACGCTGATAGTTCCCTTTCACAAAACGGGCAGCTTTCCTTTGCACTGATTCAAGGGCTGAAATGTGTTTCTGGAAAATTTGATAACTTAATATTAAATGGATAATTTACGGACTTACTTATATGAATTATCCAATTTGTATCTCCGAACCGCGAAGCAGTACGTTCATGCATTCGAAATATTACCCGGCGGCCGATATATTTCCGGGTCCACCTACCAAAACATAGCCAATGGCCAATCAGAGCACTCGTTTCGTGGGAGTTCGTTGGTCAAGCCGGGCCGACTCGTAAGTAGCTACGGTAGCTATTGGACGTTCGAAAAGAAAAAATGAATATTCATCAACTAAAACCAAGACGGATAATGTTGACGACGAGACTTTCTCGGATTAATCATTAATTTAGGATCTAAATGAGCAAGCTATCGTAAGTCAAATAAGCTATATATATGTTATTTTTAATTTGTGTTGTAATTGCAGCAGTTATGAGGATGTAAAGAGTGAAAATCTCGTTGCATATCTCATTCATCACGGTCCGGTCGAACCGAACCATTTGTTCCGTACAGTGCCTCACAGAAAGAGGTCCCCAGACTTCAGTCTCTATAATCGGAGGTCTAGTGGAGCCAGACGTAGTCTCAGTGGAACAACCGACGATTAGAGAGACTGAAGCTTTCGGTCTACAGCTGCAGCAGTTACAGTGGCAATGTTACAGTGGCAGCTGGGGGCTCGTTTCTAGAAACCAACGACAAGACAGTCATAACTTTATCCACCAACTACGGAGATGTCTCAGAATCTTCCTAAACCGTTTCACGAAGAGCTTACTAGCTAGTATCTCGTGAGATCGATACTATCGGCGAGAAGAGGAGCCAAAACTTAGCCTTAGTCGCAATACCACCGGATTATTAAAAAATTAATATTAGAGAAAATGCAATTATTTAAATGAATTAGTCTAGTCTAGTAATAAAAAAGATTGAAAATGATACCAAGAAATAAGAGATGCAATATACTTCTAAATTTGTGTAGATTGTACAATAGAAGTACTTGTAACATAAAATTGTGAGTATTTCATTACATGACCGGTGAATCAGTTTGGTTCTTGACATGGGTACCCCTCGGATATTTTAGTTTGATAGTTTATAAAAATACACCAATATATTATTCTTAGAAAAATACGATGTAAAGAAGTTTGAGTCCAGTGTTTTAGGTATCAGTTGAATAATCAAATGACAAAACTTTAACATTCCAAAGGTTAAACCACATGTTTTAAACTGTGCATTTTACACATTTGAATTTATCTCGAAAGCAATATGGGTCTGAAAACTAAAGAATACACTTCAAACTATGGCATGCCTGCTGTGGCAAAATAGCTATCCCTTCGACGATTTTACAATGTGGAAATGAAGGCGTATAATCAGTTTATTTAAGTGGGAAAATCCTTAAATACAAACATGGCATATTTTCATGAGATTATCAAATACAAAAAACGATAACTCACTGTTTAAGTGAATGTGTTGAAAAATCATAGTTGGAGGATTTATTGTCCTTTTTTGCCAGCCATAGTCTACCCAATAAATGACATGTGATGGCGCTGCCCATCGACTAAATAGTTATGACAGAGATACGACGGTGTCAGAGGCGTCATAACTCCTTAGTCAGGATGTTGTCGTTGATCTTGGCAAAGAGGGCTTGGTGAAACACGTAGCGGACAAGTTGCTCACTAATGCTGATTTAGTCAAGAAGTTAGACTTATGACGGTTTGTAGGAATGGGCCCCTGGGCGCCAGTTGTCTGGCAGCAGTAATCTCTATGAATGAATTTGTAACCAACCATGCCCCCTTCTCTCTTAATCTCACCCTGTATCTCCCTTCTCTCTGCTCTGTGTTCATCGCTCATGTATCTTTTCTTATTGTTGCACTTTCCGACAGTCAGTTCCTCTCACTTCCTTTCTCCCCGAGTCTCTCTCTAAGCTCTCTCTCTTAATATAAATATAAATATGAATATCAATCCCTTGTCATTCAAATATTTTGTTGAAGTCTAAAACATTGGAGAAATTATAGCATTATATTTTGTTACTAAGAATAATATGAGGGTGTATTTTTTTATAAACTATCAAATGAAAATTTCCAGGGGGGGGGGCGTGCCAATCTAAAGTATTTTGCACCTCTTATTCCTTGGTACTATTATTATTTTTATTTTATTCCTAATTTAAATAATTCCAGTTTTGCCTCAAATTACGTTTTTTCTAATCCAGTGGAATTGTGACTAATGCTACATGTATGTCTTGGCTCGGATGGCTCCTCTTCTCACCCGTAGTATTGATTTGACAAGTTTGGGAAAAAAGGGCCCCTAGGATTTGTCGCACTTGCACTAGACTGTCGACACTGAGGGGAAGCAGTAATGATAATAATAAAGCTACCCTTGTCAAATTTATAAGCCTTTTTTTTAAATTAATTCTCATTGCCTTTTTTTTCTTCTACTATAGTTTGAAAAGGATGGCTTCCTTGTAGTGGAGAATTTTCTGACAAAAGAAGAGGTGGAGTCACTCAAGACAGAATGCCATGACATTGTCCAGAACATGGATCCAAAACAGCATGCAAGGTGTACGTTTGACACATCTGAAAATACACAGGTAATAATATTCTCCATTTAAACTTTTAAAGTCAAAATATTCTTCTAAAACCCACTTATATTTATAGGTCTTGACAATAGGGTTACAGCAGTATATTTGTTTTGTTTGAACATGTATGTGAATTGTTGGAGAAGGACTCTGAATTCTTGACCGCCAATGTTGGGAAGTCTGAAATTGTTTGTACCTTAATTAAAAGTGTAATTTTGATAATAAACTTGCATTGTCTCTTTGCTATACTATACTTCAACCTGGTAGTGGTTTTAGTACATTGTATCCCTCTTCACTCAGTATAGCTTTCTGAGTGAGCTGCTAAAGGGATTACTCCATCAAGTATCAACTAACTAAAAAATACAAAGCTAGACATTTTGGGGGTGATTAGTCCCTTCTACGGTAAGTGTTCAAGATATAGGGCACTCCCTTCATACCTTTCAAAAGTGTTGTTTCACACTTTATATTCTAGGCTCGGAATGAATACTTTATGACCAGCGGAGACAAGATCAGGTTCTTCTTTGAGAAAGAGGCATTGGACAAGGAAGGTATGGTTTGTCACATTTCTGTAAAGGAATCATTTGTGCAATAAAGATTGAAAAAGGGAATTATATTGTGATGTCAAGTAAACTTGTTATGTGCTTTTAAGCAAAGTTAATACATTCAGCCAGTTTTGTAAGCATTCAAAATAAATGTTGAATGCTTTGCGATGATTGGGAGCTAAGTGTTGTTTACCAGATGGCGATATTAATGAGACTTCTAGTGCTTTTTATCTATCAACATACTCAAAAATGGTCTATTAAAAGGATCAGTGCCCGTGATGAAATTTGAGTTCACAATCTTATGAATGATGATAATATACTTGATACATGATTTTGTGTGCATGTAAATCCTATGATGCTAGCACAGATTTTCTAGACTATCCGACTGTACTTGATAATGCATTGTAGTGTGGTCATTATATAGTGATACCAGATAGGATTATTAGTCGGAGGTTATATCAAGAGATTTTCATTTTCTGATGAAATCACTTGATAATAGACCTACAGTATGTTGCTTTATAGGACACATTCATTGAATATACCAATTATGTGCACATACAAAATTGGTTGCCAGTTCCAAGGAAGAGACAATAACCACCACAGAAACAGATGTAAACATCTTGTAATTTTGAGTGATTTTTTTTTTCCTTCTTTGTCAGGTGGTGAATGTTCATGTTCATTTTCATTATTTACAACTCTCTGGTCATAACAATATTACATATAATCACCCATTTACAACTCTCTCATTTTTGTTATGTTTCTTCTTTTTTCAACTATACATTTTACAGGAAATCTTTTGGTTGACAAACACAGTAGCCTCAACAAAGTAGGTCATGCCCTTCATGAACTCTCACCTCCTTTCAAGACAATATCCTGCTCCAAGAAAGTACAGGTAGTGATTACATTGTCCACTGAAATTTAATTTGTGTACAGCTAGAATGTATTAAATCAACCTTAACAAATTTGGTTTAACGGTTGAGTATGAAGATGAAGAATAAAGGATAATATTAATAGAGCGCGCACAGAACTCAAGTCTGGCTTGGGTTCAGTGCTTGCCCTATTCTACTGTGAGCATGCACTGGTGCTTTTACTACCGGTAGTCTACGCACAAGTTGCTCTTGTGTTTATTTGAACTTGCAATATCTCTTCATAGAAGAAACATTTCAAGCTCATATCTTGATTATAGTGTAGAAGGCTGGAACCTATATCATGTAGAGCAGATTATTTTTCTGTTGATTGCCGGGTACCCTTGAATGTCCTTGAAGTTCCCAGCACATGATGTTTGGTTCTGTGTAGCCTACAACACATTGGACCGTGTTCTCCTAAACCCAAAATTCTGCAAACTCTCTTGTTAAGATTGTATTGTATTTATGTATTGTATTTATTTTCTGTTTTATTAAAATAAAAAATTATATACATTTACATTCATAAAGACAAATTAATAAATGGAAGACGGAGGCCAGGATGGCCCTAGCTACTCAGCATTGTTAGCATATAGGCTGAGCTTAGAACCAGATTCAGGTTTGAATTCTTAGTAGAATTCACACTTTTATGTCTCTTTGCACTGTGTAAAGTGTATTGTATTGCTCTGTATGTTATCTCTTTAAGCAACTATCTGTATAGCCTGATAGGGATGTCATTACTCATAAAAACCCAAGTCAATCAAAAGAACTGAAGCACTATGTATCTTTGTGCTTCCAAATTGCATTAGATATGTTTGCTTTGGCTTTTATCTCTTTAAGATAAAAAAAAATCATTGCTGGACAAGACAAGGTATTTTCGTCACGTCAGAGAGGTAATGATTACCCATAGATACAAATGATGTGCAGGTATGATTTGGTCGGTAGGAATTGTGTGTACAAGGTAAATTTGGGCATGGTTTATACATACGAGGCATTGCCGAGTGTGTTTTAGACCTGCCTAAAGTTACAGCGTGCACACACTTCCACCGACCCACAAAATCAAACTGCGTATCATCTGTTTTCTAGAATGGACTTAAGTTTTTTAAACAAAAACAATAACAAATTATCGGACGCATGAATTGTTTTACCAGTCGCATGAATTTTTTACTGGACGCATGAAATTAAAAAAAATTAAATATTTAAAAATTATCAGAATGATGAAAAAATTAGCAAATTAACAAAAATTATAAGAATTATAAGGGGAAAAAATAATTTAAAAAAAAAAAAATGTTGTGTGTATCCAGTAAAATTATCTACATGGTAATTGACCAATCAGATTGCAGGGATTCTTCTACCCGTTCTATAACATTTAATGACACCTATTTCTCACTTTTAAATCCAAATATATCTCATCTGTACAGGATATTGCAAGAAACTTAGACTTCAAGAAGCCTGTTATTGTGCAGAGCATGTACATCTTCAAACCACCACACTTTGGAGGAGAAGGTAAGACTTTAGGACTTATTCAAAAAGGAAAATCATACCAGTACCCCCAAAATATAGTTTAGATTGAAATTAAAGAATAAATGATCAGTCCAGGATTATAGGTTGAAGTTAATTTAGATAAGAATGATGCCTTGGATGTGAAATGTCGCAGATAGAAATCCCCTCTTCTTGCTCATCATAATGGCATCTTCCTCAGGGCACCTTCTTAGCTCATAAATTACTGGATAGCTTTCATTGTGTAATGTTTATTCTCATTATTATCATTTGGGATATTATATGACTATATCATTCTACACCACTCCTCTCAAACTGATTGGTTACTGGATATTTTTCATTGTCTTATCGTCATCATCAGTATTATTGTCATTACTATCATCATCATCATGGTTATCTTTAGGCCTAAAAAAAAGATGTTGTATTGCTCTTTAGGTGCCAAAACATGGGTCAGTCAGCCCCCCCCCCCCAAAAAAAAATTAACTTTTCTTTTCCTCTTTCTTTTTGCTGATATTTCTCAGTTTTGAATGCTTTAATAATTTTTTTTCTCTAAAAAATGGTTTAAAAAACAAAATAATTAAAAAGCCGATCATAGATTACAAGATTTGGGGTAGGTCGCAAAGGGCAATACAACATTTTTTTTTTGTTAGGCCTTATGTACCCTAATTCTGTTATTATTTTTTTCTACCAGTGACTGCCCATCAGGATGGCATCTTTCTCCATACCGACCCCCTCAAACTGACTGGTTACTGGATAGCCTTAGAGGATGCCGAGATTGATAATGGTTGCCTGTACTTCATTCCAGGTTCTCATTCACGTAAGCAATTAAGCCATCTTAGACTAGAGTATTGGTATCAGGCGCGTACGCAGGGGGAGGGGGGTACCCCCCCCCCCTCCTCCCTTTTGAGTTTTGAGTTTTTATTTTATTTTTTTCTTTATCCTAATATCCTAATAGATGACCTTAGCTCCCCCCCCCCCCCCAACGGAAAGATCGGTCAATTTATCAAATTACGTGACCCCCCCAAAAAAAATTATGTCCTCTTACCCCCCCCCCCCCCCCCCCCCCCCCTAATTTATATCTTGGCTAAGGATGTACAATATTTTTACACTTCTATTTTATTTAATCTGCCATTACTACATAATAAAATAAAATGAAATAAAATTGGTAAAAACGCACAGGACCCATCTTTGTAAGGATCTTACACTTTACACTATCTTAACAGGTGACATCACAACAAGAATGGTTCGAGATCCAGATGGATCTGCGACCTCATTCCAAGGCGATCCTTACCCCATGCAGGTACCTGATGAGGATTTCATTCCGGTTCCTGTCAAAGCAGGTAAGGTTGGTTCACGGTTCCTTTGGTTGAACATCGTATATTCAGGTGACAAGTCATGGTTCCAAGCTATCCTGAATATCAGGGAATACCTTGAAAATTAGTTCCCTTTTTTTTTCCAATTACAGAACGGGAATTTAAGGAAAATCAATCATGTTAGGAAATTTTAACAGCCCAGAAAGAAAGTAGTCAGACTCTTAGAATTTGTCTTGTGTCCAAATATTGGGGGTGCTTTACTCCCCCACCCCCCCCCCCCCCACCCCTAAAAAGGTCTTCTCATTTTTTGGATGCCTTTAAGGGTAAACATTAGCTGCTAGGCTTAAGATACCAGATTGCATTTGGCCTGGAGGGGGTACAGTCCTCTCATCCTGGATCTGCCATTGATGTAGTGAGGCTATTTCTCATCTTAAAGGTAGCCATTATGTCCAGGTCAATATTTCCTTTACCTTCTTCATTTCGTTCCAGGGTCACTGATTCTCATCGATGCCAAAGTTGTTCACAGGAGTTCCCAGAACACGTCGGATAGATCCCGACATATCTACACATTCCATGTTGCAGAGTCTGAGAAGACAGATTGGAGCGAAGAAAACTGGTAGGTTTCATTTTCATCCCAGCTATATCATGCTTCGATAAACTCCATTATATGTATTCAAATAGTCAAAATATTTCACGTTCTGATTTAAACGAGAAGTAACAAAATGAATTTGGCAATAAAATGTCCCACAGCATAAAAGATGGTTCATGGTGCGATGGATGCAACCTTCGGTTCGCATTTGGGCTCTACACATTTTCTCATGATATAATGCTTTATAGAGCTTTGAATAAGTATTCAATACATTCAATTTTGAAATAAAAACAGGATGACAGCCATTTGCCTTCTGTTCGGGGGGTAAAAGTGCTATTTACAAATTTTGTTCACAGAATTTATTCATGTTTGCCTCTTTTGAAAGATAATAGATAAAGCCAACCTTGTTGGTTTATCGCTTACTGTACCAAAAGTGCTTATTTTGACACATGCAAATATTACTTGAGTTATCATTTTTTACCATCAAATGATTGGTTCTGCCAGTCACACCATTATTATTCCAGGATTAGTTGACAAAAGAGCAAGTATTTATCATCTTAAAGATGTGTAAACGTAATTCTTTTCAATTTTCCTCCTAACCAACACCAACTACCCTTGCACCCCCCTATTTCTTTTCTTTTGCAGGTTGCAGCCTACGTCCGAGATGCCATTTCCACAGCTGTACACACAGAACTAAACCTGAAGTCATATCCTGCCTCTAACATATGAAATGCAGGGTCCGGTCTTTTTGATGTTTAAGACTTTTGGTAACCTTACTTATAATCTGAAATTGTACTTAAATGAATTAATGATTGTAGTTATTATGAGACGCTCCTGTTGATGCTATGCACCCTATAAAGATATAAAACATAGCAGGTAATCAGACTGTAATTGCCTCTTTCAGTCAGAAGTATCTTGTTATCTTCACTATAATAAAGTTGAATTCTGGTCAGTTATGTTGAAAAAGAAACTTGAAGCAATATGGAAAGAGAGATTATTCAGTACATAAGAATTGGTGTATACTGCTAGGTTTTGGAATCGCCAAAAGGAACAGAATTGACTCTGTCTTTCTAAAAGACAAGTGCACTGCACACAAAAATAGATGTATGGGACTACTCATACATGGGCATGAATGATCCATACGTTTTAGCTGTATCTTGTCATATTTCAAATATGAGAGCACTTGAAGAACATTAGGGGACATTTTATTTTTTATTTTTTTTATTCTTCCAAAATGACATCAAACGAACTCACAACTTTTTTTCCACCTTGACCAGAATTCGACCTTCTCTTTATGGGTATAGTATCTTAAGACACGTCGGTGTGGCATGTGCACTTTATCGCTCACCGCCACCCTGTGTCTACCTGTTACTAATTTACCTGCTCGGAGCCAGAAGGGCGTATGTATTCTATGATGATACTTTATGGATATTGACAATCAGCAGCTGAATAAACCAACGCTGCATCGTATAATTTTAAAATGTGACATTTTTCTTTGATTTTTATTTTAATCTGCCCTTTTTTACCATTGTAGAATGGAAATAATAATGGGATAAATTCTTTTCATACCACCAAGGACAATAGTAGTAAACAAAAAATTTACTTTCAAAAGAAGTAAAAAAGGATAAGAATAGGGAGTGACAGTACAAAAGAGCAAATTACAGAGGATCACACTCATGCTGTGTGTGCAATTTCTTACAAATTAATTGTATTATGCAATTGTAAATATTGTTTACAGGATTTTTCTCATTTTGTCAGATGATTGGTTAGTCATATTTTTCTGCCTTTTCTAGAGCAATGTGTATTTACTCTAGTGCACATTGCTCTAGAAAAGGCAGAAAAATATGACTAACCGATCATCTGAGCAATGTGTATTTCTCTGCCTTTTCTAGAGCAATGTGCATTAGAGTAAATACACATTGCTCTAGAAAAGGCAGAAAAATATGTATCTACTCTAATGCTTTCCTTTAATAGATTCGTTATTCAATCTCTCTGGTGTTCCCAAATTTCCAAATTGGAATATCCTTCTTTTTTTGTTTAAAAAAAAGAATGATTACAAGAAAAATCAAATACGTTATGTTATCAAGAATTCAATTCTATATTTGCTCAGTGTTTTTTAACCTATCTTGAGTGTGGGTAATCTTCTTCCATTTGAGGCAACAAGAGAAAAAATATATTTTATTTTCCAATATATTTCTGTTCTTGTAATTGATTTACATCTCTAGAGTAAATTGTAGCAAATTAATTTGAATTGTTTATCATGAAATATGTGGGTTGTTTTGACCAGCAAAGTAGCAAAAACTTGAGGGAAATCATGTTCAGTCAAATATACCTCACTTCTACACTATATTATATTTTCTCTTTGGAGTCATACTGGCATTAATTGTGGTAAAGTAAAATATATGGGATGATGGCCTTGATGCTCCTTGGTCTACCATGGTAATTTCCTCATGTTTCTTTGCTTATTCCTCAGGAACTATGCATTATGTAAAAAAATCTTAAGAGAACTCAGGATGAACTTCGATTTCATGTCTGTGCAGATTACATTTCATATTGCCATAATTATGTTGAAATACGGCTTTAAAGCATGTTACTTACTGGTAATTTTGTGAATGCAAATTTAGCACCATTGTATTGTTGAGCAGTACCTGTGTTTCAAAATTGTACAGTACTTTGTAAAAAGATACTTAAAAAAGAGAGCAATATTAATTCTATTAAAATCAATCAAATCGTGATATTTATATATTTGCCTGTTTGTTACATTCATTCATTGAGTATCACTGTAGACATACTGAAGACATACATACATATATACATGTGGTCCAACTATGTCGACATTTTCTAGGGCTGAAATTTAGGTATGGAGTTAGAGTTAGAGTTGGGATTGGGTTTGGAGTCGGATAGTGTTTGTTCTAGGGTTGAATTTGGTGTTTGAAATTGACCAAGGGAAAATCGTCATCAGAGTATGTGATGGAGCACCTTCTATTTTCAGGCAAAGTATTGATGATGATGATGACGATGGTGGAGGAATTGATGAAGAAGATGACGACTGTGACGATAATGATTATGATGATGTCAATGATGCAATGATTATGATACTGGTGATGGTGATTATGATGATCATGATGATGTCATTGATGCAATGATTATGATACTGGTGATGGTGATAATGATGATGTCAATGATGTCAATGATGTCAATGATGTCAATGATGCAATGATTATGATACTGGTGATAATAATGAATGTAGTGTGATGGTGTGGAAGTTTTGAAGACTGCAATTGGAACAGGGGCTTGGCTTGTGTCGATTCCAAGTTTGCTGACAAGACTGCCAGCAATAATAGTAAAGGAAAAGCGAAATGAACAAATATAAAATTCTAGCCCTAAAGGGTAATAAAATTACGAAATTGCCAAATAAATTTAGATTTGCCAAGAGAAATGTTGTACGAGGAACCCATCATCTCAGCCCAGCCCCACCCACCCCCCCCCCCCCCACCCCCTCCCCCTCACCGAATTTGGAAATCCCCAATTTCTTGAAATACATGCATGTCGTCTTAAATATTACAAACAATTACGGTTCCCAATGTAATATATATGTATATAGTGGTGTATAATTTTGTATGTGTGTGTTTGTGAGTAAACATGGATATTTTCTCGGCTGATATGCCTGAAAGATAACATGACACAGGGGAGGAGTGTGTTAAAGAGAGAGAGAGGGAGAGAGCGAAGAGAGAGAGAGAGAGAGGGAGAGAGAGAGAGAGAGAGAGAGAGTGAGAGAAAGATAGGAAAGAGAAACTTTAGAAATTCCCCTCTATCGCAGTATCCGAATTTTCACCATTGATTTTTTTTTCATTGCATGACTCTTTAAAAAAAAAAATTATATAATAATAAATAATACATGTATAGCTGTCATTCACATGGTGAATAATCTAGAACCACCTCACGTAATGTTCATTATTTCATTAAATTTGAAATGGGAAATTGGGGAGGGACAAACGGTCGATCGTGGTTGATAATTATGAAAACGTAAATCCTCACCCAGTGTAATGAGAAGACAATTGATTGAAACAGTAATGACTAATTACAATAACCAAAAAAGAAAATTGCTAATTCAGTAACATAGAAAGAATAAAGAAGCTCACAAATTATCTTTCACATTTCCCAAAACTCAACCTTTTCTTTAAAACCAAATGCAACTTGATAGCCCAACGATCGCACATAATGAGCCTGTGAGATAGACAACAACGCCTACGTATGTGGAATTCCCCAGTTTTCTTGAAATACATAATAATAATAATAATACAATATTTATAAAGCGCATAATAAACAGAAGTTTCTCTACTTACACGTCGTCTGAAATGGAACAAACAAGGTTTCCATGCAAGCCAGTTTCAATTTTTGAGGGGCACAGTTATAAACCAAAGTGAAAATGTAACCGTATTGTGCCCCAAGACCATAAAGATTGCAATGGTTTACGTTTTGTATTTTGTAACTTTGTATTTGGGAACTTGCTATCAACACAATTCCCAATGCTATTTCACAGCTATACAGTGCTTATTTAAAAAAGTTAAAACGTTAAAACTTTGTGACCTTGAATCATACTCAAAGATTATTTCGAGTTCATCTGGGCTGTCTTCTGCCTGAAAGATAACATGACATGAGAGAGGAGTGGGGGGGGGGGGAGAGAGAGAGAGAGAGAGAGAGAGAGAGAGAGAGAGAGAGGAGAGAGAAATTAAATATACTGTTTTACACATTTCCCGAAACTCAACCAATGTAGCTTTATAGTCTAGTGATCACACATAAAGAGCCTGTGAGATAGAATACAACACCTGCATGAGCATTTGGAAATCCCCAGTTTTGTTGAAATACATGCACGTCGTCTGAAATATTTCAAAAAATTAAAGTTCCCAATGTGTGTTTATATTGGTGCTCATGAACGTGTGTCTAAATTTGAAGAAAAAAAGAAGATGTAGTCATAATAAAGTGCTTTAGAAATTCCCCTCTATCGCAGTACTCGAATTTTCACCATATATTTTTTTCATTACTAAGTTAAATATACTCTTTAAATATATATATATATATATATATATATATATATATATATATATATATATATATATATATATAACCCTACATGGTACATTAAGTGGACATCATAAAAATCCTAACCCTAACCCTAACCCTAACCCTAAAACCTAACCCTAACCCTAACCCTAACCCTAACCCTAAACCTAACCCTAAACCTAACCCTAACCCTAATGTCTACTTAATGACTCATTTTTTCACTCCCAATGTCCTTCCAATGACGCCTTTAGTAAAATTACATATATAGAGAGAGATATATAACAAAATTGGGCCTTCCACGAGAAATAAAACGTAAAAAACGTTAAGAGGACACCAAATTGTCCTCCTAATCACAATGTCTACTTAATGACTCATTTTTCACTCCAAATGTCCCTCTAATTAGTAAAATAAATTTATATATATATATATATATAATCACGAATAATGCATGTATGGCTATCGTTCACATGGTGAAAAATCTAGAACTACCTCACGTAATGTTCATTATTTTGTTAATTTTGAAATGGGAAAAATCACCCAGTGTAATGAAAAGACAATTGATTGAAACAGTAAGGAACATAACTGAAAAAAAGAAATTGCGAATTCACTAACATGGAAAGATTGAAGAAGCTCACAAATAATTTTTCACATTTCCCAAAACCCAGCCTCTTCTTTAAAACCCAATGCAACTTGATAGCCCAACCTGTGAGGTAGACAACAACACCTGAGCATGTGGAAATCCCCAGTTTTATTGAAATACATATACAAGTCGTCTGGAATGGAACAAACATTGTCAAGGTTCCCAAATATATTGTTGGCGTAGTGAGTTGAGGCCATAGAGATATATACTTAATCTCTATGGTTGGGGCACAGTTTCAACCCAAAGTGAACATGTAACCGTATAGACCATAAAGAAGGCAACGGTTTACGTTTTGTAGTTTGGAACTTTGTATTTAAGAACTTGCTATATCAACACAATCCCAATAAAGGTCCATCGGAGAGGACCTTAAGCCGTCGGTCCTCTGGTTGCTTACTAGCAAGCATTTATGCTTTCTTAGCAGTCACGTATAATAACCACCACTACTAACCATTATTAACTACTTCTAACGACTTCAATGCTATTTCCCAGCTGTACAGTGCTTGTAAAAAAAAAAGTGCCCAACTTTGGAAGATTCTAGTTAAAAAGTTATAACTTTGTGACCTTGAATCAGATATCATAGTAAACAGCAACTAGTAGCATAGGTGCAAGAAGTGGGAGGCAGGGGGGCACTTCCCCCCCTAAAAAAAAAAAAAAAAAAAAAAACGCCCCCCCCCCCCTCCTCAAAAAAGAAGAAGAAAAGCAGAAAAAGGTTTGTATTTTTAACCAAAAAGAACAAAAAAATAATAAAAACCTGAATTGAATCAAATATTAATTATATTCCATTCAAAGGAAAGGAGAGTTAACAGGAATTGAATTTCCTAAACATTCCGCATGCCACCTATATTTATCAATGAAGGTTTTTATAATAGCGATAAGCGCATATCGTGGAAATATTGTGAGGAGGGGAAAGTGTGTGTGTTTTTTTATTATAGGGGTGAGAAGACATGAGTCCCTGAACGCTGGCGTACTGATGGAAGGGGGGGTTATTTCTAATTCTATACCAGTGATTTACAAATGTTGCTAAAATGACAATTTTTTTTGTAAGTCATACTTTTTTATGCGTTTGTTGGAAAATTAGAAATTCCCAAATTACAGTCGGGCGAAAAATATGCTTATTTAGAAGCCTTCATGTCAGGTTCTGCTGAGCGGCTAGGTTCGGAGGCTCAACCCCCCCCCCTCACTTATTAAAAAAGTATGTTACAGAGAAAAAGAAAGAAAGAGACAGAAAAAAATAAGTAACCTGCCAATGTCACAAATGAGGTATCAAAATAAGCTCATCCGAACCTAATTAGATGCCTGAAACCCCTGATCGTTAATACTCCACTTTGAAAAAAGAGTGTTGTTGATGTTTTTTCTGCTTCCCCCCCCCCCCCTTCCAAACGTTTTTGCTCATTGCGCTACTGCCCCTGGAACGTGAGCCCCCTGGCATGTTTGCCCCCCCCCCCCCCCCCAAAAAAAAAAAAAAAAAAAAAAAAAAAAAAAAAAAAATCCCCAACCGCTTCCGGCGCGCCTGACTAGTAGCCTGTTACTAATACACTATTCATAATCGTGCTGCCACGGTTGACTAAGCAGCAGGCTTTTCAAAACGTATTGTCAAAATCCTTTTGTACCAAGTTTAGGCTGGATCAATGAAAGGGGTCAAAAACCATGATGTTTATATTATCTCATTCCAAAAGCATTTGCTTAATTTTACATTGACTATTAGGCAGTTGAAAAGAAACGGTGTTGATCAAACTCAAGGAATAAGCGTACTACAAGCAAATTTTTGGTCCTTCCTCATTATGATGATTACAACTTTGACTTCATTCCCATCCCATATTCAGGATGTGTTTTTTTTTTAATGAAAGTCTACTGTCAATTTATCTGCTGCTTATTATCATAATGAGTTCTTTCTTGCATTTGGGTCTATCAACCTTTGATTTTTCAATTGCTATTCGAAATAAACACCTTATACTCCTTATGCATGTGAAATAGTGCAGCAGACAATATAAGGGAGCAGAGAGAAAACATGGGACAACTGAGAAGATCGGATGCTGTGCGAAATAATTAAAGGCTGTTCTATGGATTGAAACAAAGTTCTGTGAAAGCCTAGACATTATTGCATACGTTTGAGCAACGAAGCACTGAAGCACGAGGCAGAGTTAAACTTTTAAAAGGATTTATGACCAAAGAAGAATATGAATATGGCCTGACCCACAATCGTTCCATCAGCCCTAACTTGTACAAGGCAATTTTAAAAACCCTGGACAGGTGCTCATTCACCCGTTATATTAATATTTTGAATGGAGTATCGTTGGCCAAAGAATAAGCTACTCTTCATCATGGAATAGATTTCAAAGTCATATTGGTAATGACCTCTTAATTAGGGGTTACCAAATTTGGGAAACTATTTTTTAACACAACCAGATTTTCACTCATTCATGAAGCTCATTAATTCCCTTTCCTTTTCGCAGTCTTCAAATTTGCCCAATTCACCATCATTTTCACTTTCTCTACCATTATCACTACTACTATAACTTCTTCTTCATCATACTCCAAGATCAAAACGAGTTCATCTGGTATTTTTACTAATAATTTATCCCGGTATAATGTCTATACTTTCCCTCCGATGCTATGTTGAGACGGGTCCATGGAATGACGTCACACGACCAAGCCTCGTTTTTGTATCGTAGACGAACTTCTCTCAGGAAAACTTGACTCTCGTAACTTTATTTAATAATTCATCCTTCCTCTTTTGTTTTTTGACAATGAACTTGAAAAAAATGCAATTACTGACAATTATCTCCTATAAGATCAGTTGAATTGTCATGAATAGAATACAAGCCTAGAATCATACAGATCTAAGATGGCGTCGAACATGACAGCGTAATCCTCTACATTCTTAAAGAGAGTTACTAATCATACAACGAAATCATGTCTTTCCTCATATTTTCTTAAAATGTGAGTTTTTATTAAAAAAAATTTTTTTTATAACTTTGGTAGTCTAATATGTTTAAATATTGGATCCAAACTTTGGACGCCTTATGTTTCAAGATGGGATCCAAACTTTGGACGCCTTATGTTTCAAGATGGGATCCAAACTTTGGGCGCCTTATGTTTCAAGATGGGATCCAAACTTTGTACGCCTTATGTTTCAAGATGGGATCCAAACTTTGTACGCCTTATGTTTAAAGATGGGATCCAAGATCCCATCTTGAAACGTTTCCCATGTTAATTTAACACGGGGAGTTCTTACGGGCCAATAATGATTGATACTCAGTTTGTTGGGCGATCGATAAATACAGAGGGGAAAATGATGACACTCTTCTTTAAAACATAGATAAATAAAGAGAGATCTCAAATAATATCACGTCACTGAGAAGGTAAATTTTTGACTAAAGCACATTTCCGTATAATATTTGGTCCCCTGGTTTTCATTTTTTTTTAGACACCACTCTTTTCATAATATGGCAATTATATCGCATTTCCTGTGGGATTCCCAATTTATTTATAAATTGGTTACAATAGCATATCTAGGGATTTAAAGGTGCTCGAGGTAAACAATGGCATTGCATCTCGACCCAAACTTGTACGTAACTACACAAAAGACAACGTGCTCCGTTTCATTATTTTCTTTTATAAAAACATTCTTCCCCCTCAGAATGTCAATTTTCTAATCATTTTATCAAAAGGAAAATCGGCAATGGAGCGCTTCATCTGGCGGTAAAGTTTTTAATTTCGCACAAATATGAGCAGTTCTGTATTTAATTTTCATCAAGTTTCAATTGTCATCAAGTAGGTCATCTATTGAAGCCAAAAATTACCCCCCAAAAAACCTTAGTTAAAGATTTCTTTGAAATATTGAAAGTATATAAATGTCATTTTCTGTACACTAGTATATTGGCACAGCCATGTAAAAGAGGCTTAAAGATTCTTCACCCCGCTAACATTTTGAATCCTTGGGTTTTCCCAGTCAGTCGGGTATTTCCGCGAGCAGAGGGGGCATGCGCCCTGGACGGTGTTTGAAGCGCAGAGGGTATATAAAAAGAGAGGAGCGTAAATATGAATTCAAAACTATTTTTGTTATAATATTCGGCAATAATGGTCATAAACTGACTGACTTGCCTAAATTAAACAACAACAATAACAACAAAGAGTAATCAGTGCAGGCTGTGGAATACACAGGGAGTTGATCAAGAATGGCATCACAAGAACAGCGAAAACAGGCAAGTAAAACCCTTTCTTTACTCTTAAAGGTGGAGTGAAATCCAAATATCAGTTGATTCCTGTTGATGCGCAGGGCTGCATGAAACTCATATTTTGTTATTCAAACATCAAGATATATTTCATAGATTTTTAGATATTTTGTAAAATGTCTTAACAAGTAAGCTAAAGCTTTTACCGGCGTGGGGTCCGCGGCCCGCATACGGCCCCAGACAATTTAGAACCTTGAACCTAAAATGCTCTATGGTACATTCTCAGGCATTTCTGAATGCGTAAACCGAACATTTAAGTGAATATTTCTTAGCTATTTTCATTTTTCTTTTTTTTTTAGTCAAAAGGGAAGGGGCGTGCGCCCCACAGGCCCGTAGACAGGGGGCGGTAAGGGCGGTCGCCCCCCCCACCCCCCCCCCCCCAAAAAAAAAAAAACGCCAAAAAAGAGAGAAAGAAGAAAGGAAGAGGACGTAGGAATGAAAGGTATTAGGGACTTTTAGATTGAGTGGACGAGAACACGAAGAACGCCAACTGATCATGCGTGTCAACGTACTCAACTGCCCATGTTGACCACAATTAGAAATCTTTTAGATTGCACTCGATGCGATATACATGCATGCAGGAAGTTACACTAGGAAAATGAGGGACAAAGGAAGAGGACAAAATATACAGTTCCTCACTGCTATCATGTAAAAATGTGTAGAACAGGTGAATATGCATGTGACACCTGTTCTACACATGTTTACATACCGGTAATAGCAGGGAAGGGATGTTCCTTTGTCTACCTGAGGAACTGTATATTTTATGCGCACCGGCATACTAGTACCGTACTAGATTTAGGAAAATCAAGGTTGACGCATTCTCGATCGCCGACTGAGGCGACGTGACGCATGCGCAGTGCCTTAAAATGACGTCACATGTTGCAGTCAGAGCTGTCGACGTGCAAATCTAAAAGTCCCTATTAAGAGTCGAGAACGGAACAACGAATCGTCTTCTTTCTCTAATAATATAATGAAACGTCAAAGTTTCCCGGGGGGGGGGGGGGGGAACTAAATTCAGATAAGGATTAAGAGTCGAAAACGGTACAATGAGTCGTCTTCTTTCTCTAACAATTTAATAAAATGTCAAAGGAAACTGAATTTAGACAAGGATTAAGAGTCGAGTACGGTACAACGAATCGTCTTCTTTCTCTAATAATTTAATGAAACGTCAAAGCTTCCGCGCCCTGCACCCACTCCCGCCCCCTAAAATAAAATCCTGGCTACGCGCTTGGCGCCCCACGCCCCATGATCCATCCCTGGTAGGTGTTTTTAACTTGCCAAGGAGAGAATTCTAAATTCTATTTCAGATGACATTATAGATTAGACCAACAAACGAACTTCGGTAGATATCTATTGACTATAGAATTGCTTGTTTATTTCTCCAGTTGGCATATTAGTTTTCTCGATCCTTCGAGCCATTTGTTCATGCGCAAGTCAATGCAATATATGAATGACCTACCTTTCAACACGCAAGGATTTGCTGCCTTTTTTTTTTAAGCAGTGAAGAAGATTTGCTTTGTTGTTTGTTGTTGTTGTAGGGTTCTATAGTATAAGGCTGTCCAATCTGAAAAGATTATTTCCGTCTGGCGACACTGTTTTTCGAGTTTTTCATCAATGATGATCAGATGGCGCTGTTTCTTTTTCTGTGGCTCATGTATTGATTCAGTCATTTCAGTGTTTCATTTTCTTCAATATTGCCCCTCGAATGGTCGTCACCGGGGGTCGCCACTGAGTTTCACAACTTCCTTTCGTCGATCGTGACCGTTTAATCCACGTAGTTTAATCGATGGTGCGGGCAATAATTAAGGTGTCGACCGTGAACAGGGTGCGAGTATTAATAAAGGTTTTTTTTACTGTGCAGTGCTAATCTATACTTTCCACTTCCTTCCTCTCCGAGAAAGAGAGATAGAGAGAGAGAGAGAGAGAGAGAGAGAAAATGCGAACATGAATATAATAAATACAAAAAAGACATTGGCTTATAGGCATGGGTGTCGATCGCGGGGGGGATGGGGGGATATATCTCCCCCCCCCCCCAATATTTCAGGTGGGGGGGGGATGGCCAGTACAATAATCCCCCCAATAATTCACCATAAAAAAAAATTAAAATAATTAATGATGAGAGCCCGATTAGAGTAGTTAATGGTTATTATTCGCAAGATGACCATCAATATACACACTTTGCCATCTCATTTTCATATACATACACATTTACGAAGTATATGAGACAAGAACAAATTGAATTCTCGCTCATACGGAATTTTCAGGAATTAAGAAATTTATTCAATTTGTTCAATCAACAGCATCATAGAAATGCAGTGCGCCAAATGCAAAGACGCAGCGTTAAAAAGCAGCGAGCTAAATATTAAGCGCGTGAGCGCAAAAATAGCAATCTGCAATGAACATCAGACAATCCTGGACAGTGTAAACATAGATGAACTCTGTGACGAATTCGTGGTGAGATAGGAGACAAGGAGAAAGCTTTCGCGCTTCGCGCGAGAGCGGGGAAACTGAATTCAGACAAGGATTTAGAGTCGAGAACGGAACAACGGATCGTCTTCTTTCTCTAATAATTTAATGAAACGTCAGAACTTCCGCGCTTCGCACGGGAGCGGGGAAACTGAATTCAGACAAAGATTTAGAGTCGAGAAAGGTACAACGAATCGTCTTCTTTCTCTAATAATTTAATGAAACGTCAAAGCTTCCGCGCTTCGCGCGGGAGGGGGGGGGGGAAAACTGAATTCAGACAAGGATTAAGAGTCGAGAATGGTACATCGAATCGTCTTCTTTCTTTAATAATTTAATAAAAAAGTCAAAGCTGGGGGGGGGGGGAACTGAATTCAGACAAGGATTAGGAGTCGAGTAATGGTACATCGAATCGTCTTTTTTCTTTAATAATTTAATGAAACGTCAAAGCGTCCGCGCTTCGCGCGGGGGGGGGGGGAGGGGAACTTGATTCAAACATTAAGGATTAAGAGTTGAGATGGTACATCGAATCGTATTCTTTCTTTAATAATCTAATGAAACGTCAGAGCTTCCGCGCTAAGCGCGGGGGAAGGGGAACTTGATTCAAACATTTAGGATTAAAAGTCGAGATGGTACATCGAATCGTATTCTTTCTTTAATAATTTAATGAAACGTCAAAGCTTTCGCGCTTCGTGCGGTAGGGGGGAACTGAAATCAGACAAGGATTAAGAGTCGAGAATGGTACATCGAATCGTCTTCTTTCATTAATAATCTATTGAAACGTCAGAGCTATAGCGCTATGCGCGGGGGAAGGGGAACTTGTTTCAAACATTAAGGATTAAGAGTCGAGATGGTACATCGAATCGTATTCTTTTTTTAATAATCTAATATAACGTCAGAGCGTCCGCGCTACGCGCGGGGGAAGGGGAACTTGATTCAAACAATGATTGAGAGTCGAGAATGGTACGTCGAATCGTCTTCTTTCTTTAATAATCTAATGAAACGTCAAAGCTTCCGCGCTACGCGGGGGAGGGGGGAAATTCCCCCTCCCTGCACCCAACACTCTAGAGAGCGCGCTTTGCACGCTTCGCGTGCTCACTACCCCTCCCCCTAAATGAAATCCTGGCTACGCGCTTGGGGAGGGGGTGCAACCTGCCACTCGCTTCTACCTCTTGGTTGCTTTGATCCATTGCCGAATTTTTTTTGGCACCTATCATCCCCCCCCCCCCCCAACCACGGATACAAATCGACATCCTTGCTTATAGACCCATATTTAATTTTCGTTTAATACAATTCGCTCTTTACATCACCTTGGCAAAGTTTGTTATACCTCACCATCTAAAATGAGTGATATCTATCTGTGGCTATTATTAAAATAAGGCCATCAGAGCATGCCGGGGCGTTGTGGCGTGATAATGATAATGATAACGATACCCCTGTCAAATTGATAAGACTTTTGTATTATTTCTCATTGCCTATATCTTTTATATACATTTTTAAATTTTATATAGTTTGAAAAGGATGGCTTCCTTGTAGTGGAGAATTTTCTGACAAAAGAAGAGGTGGAGTCTCTCAAGACAGAATGCCATTACATTGTCCAGAACATGGATCCAAAACAGCATGCAAGGTGTATGTTTGAAACACTCGAGAATACACAGGTAATATAATAACTTTTAATGCCAAAATATTCCTCTAAAATCCACTTATGGGTCTTGTCAACCTAACGGTAGCTAGGTTACAGGCTTACAGCAATATTTTGTTACACTAGTCGTAAAACAGGAATGCCCAAATACAGTGTAAATAAAGCTTAATTACTTTACCGCGGCTACCTCTTGTTATGGTAATTACATGTATGCAACTGCTCGAATTTCGGTTAGATATATGGCACACATATTCTTCGGAACATGGGATAAGATAAGAGGACACGTAAGGCCTGCCGCCCATTCAGCTATGAAGCGGCAAACCCCCGCCAAACTGGAATTTATTGTACCTTAATTAAGATTTTAATTTTGATAATAAACTGCTAATATCTCTTCACATGTATTACAACCTGGTAAATAGTACCCATTTTCACCTCAAACATACAAAGCTAGATATATTTTTGGTCGTTAGTCCCTTCTGAGGGTTCAAGGTATACGGTATACGCTTCGTTCTCTCGAAGAAGTTATTTCGCATTTTGTTTTCTAGTTTCAGAATGAATACTTTATGACCAGCGGAGACAAGATCAGATTTTTCTTTGAGAAAGAGGCATTGGACAAGGAAGGTATGGTTTGTCGCATTTTTGTAATGGATTGAAAATGGAAATCTACTGGATGTCAGGTTAACTTTTTAGGTATTTTAAGTAACGTTAATACATTCGGTTGTATTTTAGCATTTAAAAATAAAATGTTTGGGAGTTTACTGTCTTTTACCTTATGAGACTTTTAGAGTACTGGTGTTTTTTAGGAATGTAAAGGTGCTCGAGGTTATCAACATAGAAAGAAAATAGTCTATTATAATTATCATTGCCCGTGATGAAAGTTAAGCTAACAATTTTTTACAAGGTGATATTATAATTTGATAATTTGATGTGAATGTAAATCCTGATTACATCGAATCACCTATTTACAACTCTATACATTTTACAGGAAATCTTTTGGTTGATAAACACTGTAGTCTCAACAAAGTAGGTCATGCCCTTCATGAACTCTCACCTCCTTTCAAGAAGGTATCCTGTTCCAAGAAAGTACAGGTAGGCCTAATGATAATATCATCTGCCGAGAGCCAGAAGGGTGTTAACTCGTATTATTCTATACAGGCGTGTACGCAGGGGGGGGGGGGGGGGAGTTTGGGGGTTGAACCCCCCCTTTGGTATTTTTATGTGTGTTAACCCCCCTAAAACCCCCCTTTGGATTTTTTTTTTGTTTTTAAATCATAAAAAAAAGGTGACCTTACCCCCCGCCCCCCCCCCAACAAAGAAAAATGTCAAATTTTCAAATTTCGAGACCAAAAAAAAAAAAAAAGTGTCCTCTTACCCCCCCCCCCCCCCCCCCCCCCCCCCCCGCTTATTCAGCGGCTGGCTGAGTCGTTGCGATTTTTTGGGGACTACCAACAAAAAAAGTGTCCTCTTAGTGTATCTCTCAACAGTATATAGATATACTAACTTACCAAATATATCAATTAGTAGGCGGTTTCCCGTCAAAATTGTTATCGTCATGTAATATTCAAAACATATTCTTTCACATGATTGGTAATAAGAGCTTCCATTTCATTTTTTGAAATTGGGGCGCTTCCAATACTGGTCTTTACCTTTAACTATAGCATTACATGACACCTATTTCTCATTTTTTTTTATAATTCAAACGTATCTCATCTGTACAGGATATTGCAAGAAACTTAGACTTCAAGAAGCCTGTTATTGTGCAGAGCATGTACATCTTCAAACCACCACACATTGGAGGGGAAGGTAAAACTTTCTTAAAAAGGAAAATCATATTATTATCCCCAAAATATATATTAGATTGAAATTGAAGAATGGTCAGTGCAGACTAGTTTGAAGTTGAATTTAGAGAAGAATGATGCCTTGAATGTAAAATCTTATCACAGAAGGTCACTAGGTTTGCCCACTGTAAATGCTGCAGATATCAACCCCCTCTTCTTGCTCGTTATAATGGGATCTTCCTCAAGGCACCTCCTAAGCTCATATATTACTAGATAGCTTTAATATTGTGTAATTGTTGTATCCTCATCATCATTATCATTATATTAGTTATTATATGGCTATATTATTCTACACCTGACTTGGTTATTGAATATCTGTCATTATCTAACCATCATCATCATCATGGTTATTTGTATGGACCCTCATGTTTTTTTAATTACTCTTTACTGCCAGTAACTACCCATCAGGATGGCATCTTTCTCTAAACCTGGCCCCTCAAACTGATTCATTAGTTGCAAACTGTTATTGTATTTTTATCCTCATCATCATCTTTACTGCTAAAGTACTATTTTTTTTTCATTGTTATTATAATCATCATCATCATCGTCACCGTGGTTACCTTACACACCCGTTTGCCTCCTTCTCGTATTCTTTTCTACCAGTGAGTGCCCATCAGGATGCAATCTTTATGTACAACACGCCCCTCAAACTGATTGGTTACTGGATAGCTTTGGAGGATGCCGAGATTGATAACAGTTGTCTGCATTTCATCCCAGGTTCCCATTCACGTAAGTAATTCAGTAAAATTGAAATATAATGCAACTTGCTTAATATTCTTTCATATTAATTCCCCTGTGGGTGATGATGTTATAGGGCTCTTTGGTAGAAAATTGTTAGGAAAGATGAGGCTACCCCAGGCAAATATGGCCATATTGTTAGTAATAGTAGTAGTATTATTGTTATTATGTATGAAAAGATTATTTTGATGTTCTGTCCCGAATACTACTTGAAAATCTAAAATCAATGCTATATGCACTATTTTGTCCAATTGGGTCCCTCACAGGGCGTACAGCTGTTCACAAACACCTGTTAGTTGGTTATATGGTAATCTACATCCTGGCCCAGGATGTAAATTATTTGTCACCTTTTTGAAAAGTGAGTCTGCCACCACTACACCCACAACAAAAAAAATCATTAAGAATTCACAGCATCTCCCGTAACTTAGGATCTTACACTTATGAACACGACGGACAAAGTAAGAGGACAAAATATACAGTTCCTCAGGTAGACAAAGGAACATCCCTTCACTGCTATTATGTAAAAATGTGTAGAACAGGTGAATATGCATGTGACACCTGCTCTACACATTTTTACATAAAAGTAGTGAAGGCCGTTCCTTTGTTTACCTGAGGAACTGCATATTTTGTCCTCTTTCTTTGTCCGTCATGTTCATAGTGTTAGTAAGTTTCATCCATAATAGACGGAACCTGACAAAGTTTCAGGCTCGTGTTTTTATTTGCACTTATCCGAACAGGTGACATCACAACAAGAATGGTTAAAGATCCAGACGGCACTGCAACCTCCTTCCAAGGCGATCCTTACCCCATGAAGGTACCTGAGGAGGATTTCATTCCGGTTCCTGTCAAAGCAGGTAAGGTTCAAGTTTCAAGTAAGTTTATTTTTTCAAGTTTAAAGTTTTGAGGTTGGTTTACGGTCCCTTCGATAGGACGGCTTATGCTCCGGTGACAATTCAGGGTTCCTTCGGCTGGACAGCATATGCTACGCTGACGGTTAAAGGTTCCTTCGGTTGGACAGCATATGCTCCAGTGACAGTTCACGGTTTCATAGGTTGGACGGCATATGCTCCGATGACGGTTTACGGCTCCTTTGGTTTACGACATTTGCTCCGGTGACGGTTTACGGTTCCTTCGGTTGGACGGCATATGCTCCAGTGACGGTTTACGTCTCCTTCGGTTGGACGGCATATGCTCCGGTGACGGTTTATGGCTCCTTCGGTTGGACGACCCTACATGTGTTTTGTTGACAGCTCTTGGTTCCAAGCTATCCTGAATATCAGGGAATACCTTGAAAATAAGTTCCCTTTTCCGTCAGAGAACAGGGAATTTTAAAACAATCACTGCAATCTGCGAATTTCAACAGCCCAGAAAGTAATCCGTCTTTTAGGTGTTGTCTTGTTGTCTTTTTGTTTTCTTTTTTCAAATACCTTTTAGGGTAAAAGTTAGCTGTAAGGTCGAAGGCTCAAATAGGCGGGGGGAGGGGTCGGTCCTCCCATCCTCGATCTGCCATTGATGTAATGAGGCTTTATTTCTCATATGGTCTGATCCTAAAGATAGCCATTATGTCCTGGTCATTATTTCCTTTAACGTCTTCATTTTGTTTTAGGGTCACTGATTCTCATTGATGAAAAAGTTATTCACAGGAGTTCCCAGAACACATCGGATAGATCCCGACATATCTACACATTCCATGTTGCAGAGTCTGAGAAGACTGAATGGAGCAAAGAGAACTGGTAGGTTTGATTCTATCCAAGTTATACAAGTATCATGCTTGGGCAAATGCCATTCCATGTATTCAAATATTCAAAATAGGCCTATTTCACATTCTGAATCAAATTTAAAGTACCCTCATAAAAGTTTGTTCATGGTGTGATGGATGCCGAAAATTTACAAATTTCCTCAAGACATCATTGGGCTTGGAATAAGTATTCAATACCTTCGATTCAGAAATAAACACTTAGAATCTTAGAATGCTTGCCTTTTTCCTTCTGTTAAAACAATTTTTGCCTCTTTTGCAAGATAATGAAAAAAAAGCAAACTTTGCATAACACGAGAATGTTGGTTTATGACTTATTGTACCAAAAATTCTCCATCAGCAATATTGACCTACATAGATTGCTTATTTCCACACATCATGCAAATATTACTTGAGCTATCATATTTATCATAAAATGATTTGTTCTGCCAATAATTCCATTATTTTTCATGAATTTGTTGACTGAAGAATGCAAGTTTTTATTCGCTTAAAGATGTGTAAATGTAAATCTTTTATATTTTCCTCTTCCACCCCACCCCAATTTTAAAAAAAATCAAAAAAATTAGGTTGCAGCCTACGCCTGAGAAGCCATTTACACAGCTGTACACACAGGACTAAAGCTGACATTATATCCTGCCTTGACAATATGAATACAGATTCTGGGCTTAGATTTATTTGTCAACCTTGCTTACAATCTGGAATTGTACTTGAATGAATTCATGATTGTAGTATGTATGATTACTAACGCATTTTTATAGAGATGTTCCTGTTGATATTATGTACCCAATAAAGATATAAACCACAGCGGGGAATCAGTCTGCAATTGCTATTTTCAATTGGAGAAATCTTCGAATTATATGTTATTGATTTCCAGAGGGGCAATCATATTACGAACCTCTGCGTATAAATGGTGATGTAATTGAGCAGTTACATGAGTACATACAGTGCGTCCCAGAAAAAACGAAACCTAGAATTATCGATGTTTTATCACAACTTAATCACAATTATAATTAATAAATGACACATATTTGTAAAACTTAGATCCTCCTCTTTCATTATTTTGATGCAACTCATATGATGCATATTTCACGCATTAATGATTAAAAACAATTTGAAGAGGGGAACCAACTAGTCATTTTAGGGCGGTATTTGAATTTCAAGGAGAAAATCACATTTCTAGAATGTTCAATTTCTGCCCTTTCATATGACACCTCAATCAGGAAAAATGAGCCAAGTCTTTCGTCTTCTCTGTGCATGGCTGATCGTCAACGAAACGGAGTTAAGTCTTTTGTCAACTCTGTTTGTTGCTACGGCAGGCAGCCAGTGAAAACGAAATCGTAATAAAGTTAGCACCACGTACGTTAACAATGTATTACAATGGATCAATATAGATGAAATGAAATGTTAAGTTGAGTTAGGTTGTGAAAGAAATTATCTTGAAACGATTGGAGGAAGAGTACATAAGAATATGTGTATATTGTAAGGTTTTGGAACAAGTTGCTTTCAAAAGAAGTCCAAAAAGATAAGAACAGGGAGTGATAATGTCAGCCAATGAAATGTTGACAGTTAAAAAAAGCAAATTACAATGGATCACACATCTCTGTTTCACCTTCAGCTTTTTATGTCATTGAGAATTGAGTCATTCATCCGCACATTCATGTTTTGTGTGCGATTTTTGTGTGCGAATTCAATGTGTTATACCATTGTAAGGCTTACTGTTTACATGATCTGTTATGTATATTCGACAGATCTAAAGCTATGAGTATTTAAAAGGTTATTTTATTCAATCTCTCTCTTAATTTCTAATTTTGGTTTTGTATATTTTAAATAAGGGGAAAATGCATCATATTATCAAGAATTTTATTTGGTTTGTGATTTGTGTTTTCTTACATATCTTGAGTTTGGAAAATCCTCTTTCATTTGAGGCAAAAGAAGAGAATTTTTTTATTTTGTATATAATGTATATAATATATTTTGGTGAGTTCTGGTAATTAATTTACATCTCTAGATTAGATTGAAGCAAATTAATTCTAAATTGTTTATAGTGAAGTATGTGGGTTGTTTTGACCAGCAAGTTACAAACAAACTTGTGTTGAAATACGTCTTGGGTGCATACTACTTACAGTAGCCTTCTTCAAAATTGTACAGAATTTTCTGAAAGACAAGAAACTTTAAATAGAGAACTATATGAATATAAAAAAATAAAAAAAATAGTTATATTAGTATACATACATTTGCCTGTTTGTTTGGAATTCTGAGTAACACTGTAGACACAGTTATATTTGGTCCAACTGAGGTATGGGGTAAGGGTTAGAGTTGGGATTGGGCATTTATGTTAGGTTTGGAGTCGGGTGTAGTGTTTAGTCTAGGAGTGAAGATGAGAATTTGATGAGTGTTTGAAATTGGGACCACGGGATAATCGTCATCATAGCATGTGTCGGAGCACCTTATCTTTGTCAGGCAAAGTATTGTGGGGAGAGTATTGATGATGATGATGACGATGATGATGATTATGATGATTGTGATGGTGTTTATGATGATCGTGACGATGATTATGATGCTGCTGATGATGATAGTAATAATGCTGAAGATAATCATGACTGATTCAGTGTGATGTGGTGACGTGGTTGAAGTTTGTTACTCGGGGTAGAGATGGGACTTAAGTGTGTCGGATACAAATTTGGCGAAAAGTCTACCAATAATAAAGGAAAAGCGAAATGAACAAAACTACAAAATTCTAGCCCTAAAGGGTAATAAAATAACTAAATTGACAGTACAATATGAAATTATAAATGAATAAATTAATACAATTCACGAGTTCTTATTTGTAAGTTCATTGAAGTTATTCACTACTCGATGTCGATTGAATGTCAGGAGTAAATTTTTTAGCAATCGGGTCATCCAGTCTTGGAACATTTTACCAGTGTCTCTAGTAACTGCTACCAGCATCAACTCATTTAAACACAGCTTGAAGTCTTTTCGGTCAGACAAACACTAATTTGTTATAGCATAGTCTGACATCCACACATGGACTAATTTATAGACCTTTACTAATGTACCAAGTGATCTGACCGGGACTGACCTACAGGATATCCTACATTCCCGTATAGATGATGATGATGATGATGATGATGATGTAAAGGCTAGACATTAGTATTGAGGTATAGAATAATTAAGGGGGAGGGCGGCGAAACAAGGCAGGAGAGATATAGACTCAAGGCCTAGAACTATATGTAAATGTTGCAAAATCGTCAGTTATGAAATACTAGTCTTAACTTAAAACAAAAACTAAAACTGGCACCAGTAAACAATTGTACAAACACAAAATGAAAAAAGAATGTCATTAAGGACTTTATCCATATTGCAAAACGGCAACGCGCTCTTAAGTAGCCTGACTTTTGCATAGTCAGAAACTTCAACAGTAGCCTTTATGAGATTCGCATCACCGAGCTGAGAGTTGATCAAGATCAAGAATGTCATCAAAAGAAGAGCGAAAACAGGCAAGTTAAACTTTGTCATCACTTTTAAGTTCCATCATCTTTGTTTCATTGAACATTAAGATGGATGAGACCGAAAATGTCTGTCGCTTTTAGTTTTACTTAATTCTCTTTCGTTCGTTAGCCTCTTATTTGGGTAGGGTCGGCTCCTCTCTTTAGAAGCAGAAGCCGACCTTAGGGTCTCCAGTGCAAACGTTGTGGCCACAAAACTTTGCCCAAAATACTCAATTTAGTGTATTCATATCCAATGCATTTTTTTAATAAGCCTAGAGTCTAGGCTAATATACATTGGTTCCATTTACCAGATTGACTGAATGATGTGTTTAAAGATACTATGTCCCTTTTGCAGCCAACATCAAATTCTGTAGAACTTTGCAGGAATTATGAATATGTCATGTATGTCCTATCTGTGATATTTAAACGTTAGCAGTGTTCTTATATTCAAATTATGCAAGGAAACCTGTTTACTTGCTAGACTTTACTGTCAGACACTATTGATTGACTGACTGGCTTTTTTTTTTTTTTTTTACTTCTTTGGTAATAACATACATACAATGAGCTGTAAAGGGTACATGGGCATTTGTCTACATCAGTAACCCACTTCTTGTAATGGCCAAAATTAAACTGATTGAATCTTTGCGCAGCATAAAACTTACGACCATTCGGTACAATGGTCTGAAAATCAGACTCTTACTTACTGGCTCTATAGCTCTTAAGTCGATTCGACAACTAATACTCGTTATTTTCCCACTTAAAGACATTTTCAAGCTCCCATTTTTTAGGGAAGTTCTAAATTAGTATTATCCTTCAAATGCCGTTGGAATTTAACCTTTTCGTTTTTTTGGCCTGCAAATGGGACATAGTACCTTTAAGGGTTCTTTTTTCGGGATTTTCTTTGTCCAAATGAGCGCTGTGTTGAACTTGAAATTCTTGCAGCCGTATTTTAAACTGCTCCTGTTCGTGCGCATGAAGGAAGATGATGTCATCTATTAAGCGCTATATAAAAGCAGAATATTATTATTATTATCTATTGACATTATTAGGTATTGGCAACGCCCCCAATAGTTTTCTCTTGGTTGAGTACTGGATGTGGACGAGTCTGGGGCCCCGTTTCTCGAAAATCAAAACCGTCATAATACTAACCTCTAGGCTCTACTCTAGACTAAATCAGCGTCAGTGGCTACTTGTCCACTATGTGTTTCAGGCGCGTACGCAGAATTTTTTTCAAAGGGGGGGGGGGGGGGGTTTAACATTTATAAATCGGGCCGAAAATTTCGTAACGACTCAGCCAGCCGCTGAATAAGCGGGGGGGGGGGGGGGGGGGGGGGGGGGGGGGCTAAGAGGACACATTTTTTTTTTTTTTTGGTCCCGAAATTTGAAAAATTGACATTTTGCTCCGTTGGGAGGGGGGGGGGGGGGGTAAGGTCAGCTTTTTAAGGTCAACCATGGGAATTTTTTTTTTTTTTTTTTTTTTTTAATAAAAAAAAAAAAAAAAGGGGGAGGGGGGTTTAGAGAAATTTAGGGGGGGGGGGGGGTTTACACACAAAAAAAATACCAAAGGGGGGTTTAACCCCCCCCCTGTGTACGCGCCTGATGTGTTTCATAAAGTCCTCTTTGACAAGATCAAGGACAACATCCTGACTAAGACCAAGTAGATGACACTTCTGAGCTGACCCTGTCGTATCTCTGTCATAACCGGTAGGCAGCGTCATCGGTAGGCAGCGTCATCCATTAATTAGGTAGACTGTGCCCATGGCCTGGCAAAAAAGGACAAGAAATCCCCCAGAAAAGATCTTTCATTCACCTAAACAGGGAGTTAACCTTTTTTATATTTGAAATTTTATGAAAATATGGCATGTTTATAATTATATGTAAGGTTTGTTCAACTTAAATAAACTGATCATACACGTTTATTTCCACAGTGTATTATAAACCCTCCAAAGGATAGGTAATCTCCTCTCTAGTTTTAAGACCCGTATTAATTTCGAGATAAATCTCCAAATGTGTAAACTGGATAGGAAAACATGTTTTTAACCTTTGGAATGTTAGAGTTTTGTCATTCAAATATATTTTGTTGAAGCCTAAAACATTGGAGAAAACTTTCATAGCATTGTATTTTTTTTACTAAGAATAAAATGAAGGTGTATTTTTTTAATAAACTATCAAATGAAAATATCCTGGGGGGCGTGCCCATCTAAATACAAAACGAAACAAAAATCACATTTGTATTTTGCACCTGTTATTCCTTGGTACTATTTTTAAATTTGTTTATTCCTAATTTAAATAATTCCAGTTTTCCTCAAATTACTTTTTTTTCTAATTTGGTGGAATTGTGACTAAGGCTATGTCTTGGCTCGGATGGCTCCTCTTCTTACCCGTAGTATTGATTTCACGGGGTTTCGAGAAACGGGCCCCTAGGATTTGTCGCACTTGCACTAGACCGTCGACACTGAGGTGAAGCAGTAATGATAATAATAAAGCTACCCTTGTCAAATTTATAAGCCTTTTTTAAAAATTAATTCTCATTGCCTTTCTTTTCTTCTACTATAGTTTGAAAAGGATGGCTTCCTTGTAGTGGAGAATTTTCTAACAAGAGAAGAGGTGGAGTCACTCAAGTCAGAATGCCATGACATTGTCCAGAACATGGATCCAAAACAGCATGCAAGGTGTACGTTTGACACATCTGAACATAGACAGGTAATGATATTCTCTTTTTTAACTTTTAAAGCCAAAATATTCTTAAACCCAATATAGGTCTTGACATTAGGGTTACAGCAGTATATTGTTTTGTTTGAATGTGTGAATTTTTGGAGATGGACTCTGAATAATTGACAGCCAATGTTGGGATGTCTGGAATTGTTGTACCTTAATTAAAAATGTAATTTCGATAATAAAGTTGCATTATATCTTTGCTATCTTCAACTTGATAGTTTTAGTACATGGTATCCCTCTTCACTCAGTAAAGCTTCCTGAGCGAGCTGCTAAATGGATTACTCCATCAAGTATCATCTATCAAGTAACTAAAAAATACAAAGCTAGATAGTTTTAGGGTGATTAGTCCCTTCTACGGTAAGTGTTCAAGATATAGGGCACTCTCTTCATACCTCTCAAAAGTGTTGTTTCACACTTTATATTCTAGGCTCGGAATCAATACTATATGACCAGCGGAGACAAGATCAGATTTTTCTTTGAGAAAGAGGCATTGGACAAGGAAGGTATGGTTTGTAACATTTTTTAAAAGGAACCATTTGTGCAACAAAGATTGAAAAAGGGAATTATACTGTAATTTCAAGTGAGCCTATTAGGTGTTTTGAGCAAAGTTCATACAGGCAGTTTTTTAAGCGTTCAAAATAAATGTTTTGCTTTGTGATGATTGGGAGTTTTTTTTTACCTGACGGGGATATTAATGAGACTTCTAGTGCTTTTTATCTACCAACATACACCAAAAAAAAAATGGTTCACAATCTTATACATGGTGATAATGTACTTGATAAATGATTTTGAGTGCATGTAAATCCTTTGTGATACAAGCACAGATTTTCTAGACTATCGACTGTACTGTCTTGATGATGAATTGTAGAGTGGTTATTATAAATTATATTCCACATACTAAGAACCTTGCTCTACGATTGGTCAAAAGTAAATCACGTGATGAAAGATAGTTCGCTCATTATTGATGGGAAAGCAAAAAGTTTGTTACACTGTGTAGATAGTACTACTATCTACACAGTTCAACGCACTTTCAATGAAAGATTATCCAGAAGCACACTAAAACAGGCGTAATTAAGCGCGCATTTCCAATGAGCGCAATTAAAGAACACACATGCGCGCACCGTACCCTCAAGGGGTTGGGTTAAACATAAACTTTTTTGGTGTGAATTTGGGCCTAGGTGTCTTTTATGTAGATGCATACACGTCCTTTTCTATTTGTAGTTAAATTGTTTTAGATGTGGAATATGAAGCAAATAATCACCTTTTGGTTTCAGGCGATGGCAAACTATCACTTCCTCGTCGATCAGAATGTTTACGCTATCTTTCCTCAGCTTCGCTTCGGAAAGATAGCTACATCCAGATCGCCACAGAAGTGATAGTTTGTCCCATCACCTTCACCAACGGTAATTATTTGCTTAATGTATAGTGATACCAGAAAAGACTATTAGTCATTTCCTGATGAAGTCAGTTGATAATAGACCTACAGTATGTTGCTAAGGACAAAGTCATTGAATATGCCAAATTCTCGCTACCCTAAATAGGTACGAAAATCTCGAAATTCGCGAGACGAGGTAATTTTCACTCTCTCGGGTCGTCACTACAACTTCCGGTATAGAGTCCCATCCCAAGTCACGGCCTTCATCCACCCCCATTTTTCAGGGTTCTTACGCTTGGAATCATGAGCCCAGCACTGTGCAGCCTCACAAAAGAAAACCATCGTCACTGATGTCAAAAGACGCAAAAAACAACGAATGAAATGTTCAAATAAACGTTGAAATATTTGCGAAAAAAAAACAAGACCGAGCAGACGACATATTCGGTGCATACACGTTGTGTGGCGACGGCGTTTTACGTTTGCGCTATCGCGCGCCTGCACAGGAAGCTGTAATGTTGAAAAGCTATCCCATAATGCAATGCGCGTTTTCAGGATTTTCCCCGGATCTCGGCAGAATCGCTATTTGGGGTAGCGAGAATTGGTTGCCAGTTCCAAGGAAGAGACAATAAACACCACAGAAACAGATGTAAACATCTTGACATTTTGTCAGGTACTGAATATTCATTTTCATTATTTACAACATTATATTGAATCATCCATTTTCCTGCTTCTTCTTTTTCAACTGTACATTTTACAGGAAATCTTTTGGTTGACAAACACAGTAGCCTCAACAAAGTAGGTCATGCCCTTCATGAACTCTCACCTCCTTTCAAGAAGGTTTCCTGCTCCAAGAAAGTACAGGTAGGCCTAATGATAATATCATCCGCTGAGAGGCAGAAGGGTGTTAACTCGTATTATTCTATGTAGAGTTCAAGTCTACCAATCAGTTGAAGATATGTTTTTTTTTTTAATCTAGGTCCTGTATTTACAAACATAAGTATATCAATATCTGAAGTGTTAAAACACAGCAGTATGTAACATTTTTAGTTTGTAAAATGCATATTTTCCATCACGTCAGATAACTAATGATTAACTATAGCATTACCTGATAACTATTTCTCATTTTTAAATTCAAACGTATCTCATCTGTACAGGATATTGCAAGAAACTTAGACTTCAAGAAGCCTGTTATTGCGCAGAGCATGTACATCTTCAAACCCCCACACTTTGGAGGAGAAGGTAAAACTTTCTTAAAAAGGAAAATCATATCATTATCCCCGCAATATATATAAGATTAAAACTGAAGAATGGTCAGTACAGATATCTTATCATCATCATCATCATCGGTATTGTCATTATGATCATCATCATCATTATGGTTATTTGTCTGGACTCTCGTTTTTTTAATATTCTTTACTGCCAGTAACTACCCACTAGGATGGCATCTTTCTCTAAACCTGGCCCCTCAAACTGATTCATTAGTTGATAACTGTTATTGTATTATCATCCTCATCATCATGTTTACTGCCATTAGAACTATCGTGGTATCGTCATCGTGGTACACCTGTATGCCTCCTTCTCTTATTCTTTTCTACCAGTGGGTGCCCATCAGGATGCCATCTTTATGTACAACACTCCCCTCAAATTGATTGGTTACTGGATAGCTCTAGAAGATGCAGAGATTGATAACAGTTGTCTGCATTTCATTCCAGGTTCTCATTCACGTAAGCAATTCAGTAAAATGGACATAATAATGCAACTTGCTGAATATTCGCTCATATTTATTCCCCATGTGGGTGATGATGTTATATGGGTCTTAGGTTGAACATTGTTAGTACAGATGAAGCTACCCCGGGCAAAAATGGCCATATTGTGTTAGTAGTAGTGGTATTATTATATATTATATACCTCACTTAAGTAATCCAGCAATCTGATTGGTCGAAATTGCATTCATAAACTTTAACTGTTCCCGAAAATTCCCGGTAACCATGGTTAAAAAACAGTTCAAAATCTAAAATAGGTCAGTCTCCATGGTTACCCCATAGGTTTACATGTTAAAAAATGGTCTGAGCGATCGAGGATACCGTACGTGTGCGAAGAATTGGTCGGTAATTTCAATACAATTGAATCTCGATCGATCTTACCGACAATTTTATCTTGCATTGTTGACATGAAGACGAAAATAAACTTCCAAAAACAAAAAAAACAACATCTGCCGATAGATCTTGATCTAAGTTCGTGCCAATATGCATTGCAAAAGTAAAAGAAGGGCCCGTTTAATGGAGCAGCGGCGAAGCATCGACCACGCGAAGCCGTTTTCAATTCATTTTAATGTATATATTAAAGAAAACTGCTGAACGTGGCGACATAGCGCGCTGGCCGAGCGGATTGAGGCGCTGACTCTAGTAACATCACCTCTGATACGCAAGAGTTCGAATCCCATCTTCGACAAAAGTTTTTTTTTTTTTTTTTTCGGCATATAAAAGTATTAATGACTGCTTTAATATTCGAGAAATAACTCTCAAAGCAGTCATTAATACTATAATATTGACTGGCCTTGAGGGGTATATCAGAAATATTGACCAAGCTCAGATCATATTGCCCCGAGTCGAAAGACGAGGGCAATATGGTCTTAGCGCGGTCAATATTTCTGATATCCCCCCGAAAGTAAAGCCATTCAATATTTTTATTGTTATCCAAATCAGACATCTAGAGCAAATACAGACATCCACCATGACAATCTCAAGAACTGAACAAACTTTGTCAAACCAGCACTGTGACGTCACAGTAGAGTGCGCGCAAAGTGCGCAGGTTCTCGTACGCATAATAGATGTGCAATGAAAATGATAAAATACGGCGCAGTCAATACAAGATGCCCGGATGCGAGACCGTGGAAAATACCAAGGTTTATTTTCACTCGTCTCTCTACACGCAAAGTCAATACGCGCAGGGAGACCAAGGAAAATACAAAGAATATACCCCTCCGTTCCCACTGCTAGTAAAAACTAGGGCAATACGGTTTTGTAAATGACCAGCTCAGATATCTGATACGGGTAATAATTGTTATTATTATGTATGAAAAGATTATTTTGATGTTCTGTCCCGAATGCTACATGTAAATATTAGAAATCTAAGATCAATAATATATGCACTATCTCTGTCCTGCTGGGTCCTGCACAGGTTGTACAGCTATTCACAAACACCTGTTAGTGTTTTTAAAAGTTAGTCTGCCACCAATACACAAACAAATCAAAAATAAATAAAGTCATTAAAACTAACAGCACCTTTGTAAGGATCTTACAATGGACGAAACCTGACAAAGTTTTTAGGCTCGTGTTTGTATTTGCACTTATCCTAACAGGTGACATCACAACAAGAATGGTAAAAGATCCAGACGGCACTGCAACCTACTTCACGGGCGATCCCCACCCCATGAAGATATCTGATGAGGATTTCATTCCGGTTCCTGTCAAAGCAGGTTAGGTTCAAGTTTCAAGTTCAGGTTTATTTTTTCAACTTTAAAGTTTCGAGGTTGGTTTACGGTCCCTTCGATTGGACGGCTTATGCTCTGGTGGCAATTCACGGTTCCTTCGGTTGGATGATATATGATCCGGAGATGGTTTACGGTTCCTTCGGTTGGACGGCATTTGCTCCGGTGACGGCTTACAGTTCCTTTGGTTGGATGGCATATGCTCCGGTGACGGTTTATGGTTCCGTCGATTGGACGGCATATGCTCCGGTGACGGTTAAGGTCCTTCGGTTGGACAGCATAATTATGCTCCGGTGACAGTTCACGGTTCCGTCGATTGGACGGCATATGCTCCGGTGGCGGTTTACAGCTCCTTCGGTTGGACAGCATAATATGCTCCGGTCAGGGGCTGGGGAGGGGGCCAAAGAAGGGGCCCAATTCGTGAGAAAATATTTAGCGGCGAAACAGCCAGCCGGTGAATAAGGGGGGGGGGGGGGGGGGGGGGAGGAGCACTCATTTTTTGTTTGCCCTCGAAAATGTGAAAAATTGCACCCCCCCCCCTGGGGCCCAGGGGAGGGGACCCATCACCAAATAACAGTAAAATTAACCTGTTTTTACCTGTTTTTGAGGTTGAAGGCTCAAATGGGGGGGGGGGGGGGTACGGTCCTCCCAAGTCCCATCCTCGATCTGCCATTGATGTAGTGAGGATATTTCTCATATGGTCTGATCCTAAAGGTAGCCATTACATCCTGGTCAATATTTCCTTTACCTTCTTCATTTTGTTTTAGGATCACTGATTCTCATTGATGAAAAAGTTATTCACAGGAGTTCCCAGAACATATCGGATAGATCCCGACATATCTACACATTCCATGTTGCAGAGTCTGAGAAGACTGAATGGAGCAAAGAAAACTGGTAGGTTTGATTTTTATCCAAGTTATTCCAGTGTAATGCTTGGAAAAATGCCATTTTATGTATTCAAAAATTCAAAATATTTCACATTCTTAATCAAATTAAAAGTACCGTCGTAACAGTTTGTTCATGGTGTGATGGATGCCACCTGTGGTTTGCATGTGGGTTCTACAAATTTCCTGAAGACATCATGATTTATAGAGCTTGGAATAAGTATTCAATTTAGAAATAAACACTTAGAATGTTAGAATGACTGCCCTTTTCCTTCTATTAAAACACTTTTTGCCTAGTTTGCAAGATAATGGAAAAAGCAAAATTTGTATAACATGAGAATGTTTGTTTATCGCTTATTGTACCTAAAATTCTCCATCTGCAATATTGACCAACATAGATTGCTTAAATATTTCGATACATCATGCAAACATTACTTAAGCTATCATTTGTTATCATAAAATGATTTGTTCTGCCAATAATCCCATTATTTTCAATGAATTTGTCGAATTAAAGATGCAAGCCTTTTTATTCACTTAAAGATGTGTAAATGTAAATCTTTTAAATTCCTCCTCCACCCCATCCCAATTTCAAAAAAATAAAATTAGGTTGCAGCCTACGCCTGAGAAGCCATTTACACAGCTGTACACACAGGAGTAAAGCTGAAATTTTATCCTGCCTCGAAAATATGAATACAGAGTCTGGTTTTAGATGTTTTTGTTAACCTTGCTTATAATCTGGAATTGCACTTGGACTGCAAAAGTTTATAATGGGAGGGGTCGGCGACTGATTGTTTTCTTCAAAAAGCACTAATATACACGACTGCGTTCATTTTTTCTATATACACCTCATAATCTGATATCTCTTTATTTTACAGTTCATAACTATGTAGATATACATTAAAGTACGTTAAAGGTAAAGACCAGTATTGGAAACGCCCCAATTTCAAGAAATGAAATGGAAGCTCTTATTACCAATCATGTGAAAGAATATGTTTTGACTAATACATGATGATAATTTTTGTTGATATATTTGGTAAATTAGTTTATCTACATGGTCTGTGAGAGATAAACGCACGTGTCGCGCACGTGTGCGTATAGTCCCATATACATCTTTCTGTGTACAGTGCTTGTAACTTTACGAAGACTGGGCCATATTTCTTATCATTTTGATGATTCCAGAACCTTGCAGTACACACCAATACTTATATGCTAGATGATCAACCATTTCTGATCGATTCCACAACGTTTCCTTCACAATGCAATTTAATGACCAGAAGTGGTCTTTATCTTTCAAGGCACCCAATCATCTAAATAAACCATTTGTGTACAGCTTATACATATAAAATCACCCCTCCCCCATAAAAAAAAGGGGGGGGGGAGATAATTGTACCTTCAATTGTATGTAATAATAGTTGAAGAGTATGAAGAAAGTAAGGGATGACAGAAAAATGCAATCAAATGACCATAACTGGTCTTTACCTTATGATTTACCAGGCAAATATTATTATTTCAATATTCTGAAACCAATATGTAAAATAAAAACATTAGGGAATTACTGTAAAGTATTCAAAATGCGTTGCGTATAATGTAAGTAAATACTCATATGCATGTATGAAAAATATACAAATTGTTAAACGTTGTTGTGATTCGTTTTATCTTCTATGTGCGTTGTAATTGTAAAAATATTGTAGCTTGTTACAAAACCAATGGAAACAGAATTTCTATGTATTACTAATGGATCGATATAGATGAAATGAAATTTTAAGTTGAGTTAGGTTGTGAAAGAAATTATCTTGAAACGATTGGGGAAGAGTACATAAGAATATGTGTATATTGTAAGGTTTTGGAACAAGTTGCTTTCAAAAGAAGTCCTAAATGATAAGAACAGGGAGTGACCATTTCAGCCAGTGAAATGTTGACAGTACAAAAGAAAAATCAAATTACAATGGATCACACATCTCTGTTTCACCTTCAGCTTTTTATGTCATTGAGAATTGAGTCATTCATCAGCACATTCATGTTTTGTGTGCGAGTTCTTACAAATTCAATGTGTTATACCATTGTAAGTCTTACTGTTTACATGATTTTTTGTTCATGCTGTCTTATGATCTGTTATGTATATTCTACATTTTCTAAAGCTATGTGTATTTACACAAATGGTTTCCTTTAAAATGTTATGATATTCAATCTCTCTCTTAATTTCTAATTTTGGTTTTGTATTATTTAAATAAGGGGAAAATGCATCATATTATCAAGAATTTTGTTTGGTTTGTGATTTGTCTTTTCTAACATATCTTGAGTTTGGAAAATCGTCTTTCATTTGAGGCAAAAGAAGAGAAACAAATTAATTTTTATTTTTATATAATGTATATAATATATATTGGTGAGTTCTGGTAATTAATTACATCTCTAGATTAGATTGAAGCAAAATAATTCTAAATTGTTTATAGTAAAGTATGACCAGCAAGTTACAAACAAACGTGTGTTGAAATACGTCTTGGGTGCATACTACTAACAGTAGCCTTCTTCAAAATTGTACAGAATTTTCCTGAAAGATAATAAACTTTGAACTATATAAATGTGATAAAAATCAATAAAATGGTTATATTAGTATACATACATCTGTCTGTTTGTTACGTTCGTTCACTAGGAATTCTGAGTAACACTGTAGACACAGTTATATTTGGTCCAATTGAGGTATGGGGTAAGGGTTAGAGTTGGGATTGGGCTTTTATGTTAGGTTTGGAGTCGGGTGTAGTGTTTAGTCTAGGAGTGAAGATGAGAATTTGATGAGTGTTTGAAATTGGGACCACGGGATAATCGTCATCATAGCATGTGTCGGAGCACCTTATCTTTGTCAGGCAAAGTATTGTGGGGAGAGTATTGATGATGACGATGATGATTACATAATGATAATGACTATTCTGCTTTATGTACACTTTTGTGTAAATATTTTGGTGTAAGGACACCAAGGAAGAACAGTAATATTCTATATCCAATGCTGAATTGGGCTTTCCTCCGATTGTTATCTATGGACATGTATTTATATTTCGTTTTGTATATTTTTCTTTGTGTAATATTTATCTGATTTCGGAAATAAAAACAACAACAACATCGACAACTATCTGCTGCACGCCGAAGATGGCATGATCCACGAATTCGTTTAAACAAAGAATGAAACCAACTGACACTAAGGCCCGATTTCACAAAGGAGGTTTGTCGCGTCATATGACGCACATAAACCTAGGTTTGTCGACAAACCTCCTTTGTGAATTCGGGCCTGGCCAAACTCTGTGGATAGATGGCTATATGATTCATACGCCTACCCTTTTCGCAGGGCGTACTAATTAGTGTCCCTTTTATAGAAGAGGACACTAATTCGCGGATCGCGCCATCTTCGGCTTGCACCAAGTAGGGGGAGATCGCCAATTGTGGCCGTGGAGATAACTGGTTTAATTAAATAGGTGAAAGTCGGAGGGGGAGGGGTAATAAAATGACTCCAGATTTAAAAGGCACAGAAAATAATCATCTGACGTACCTAAACTATGACTTGTTAAAAGAAAGCTCACTAATTATATCCTCATCATAATATAAACAAAGACCCCGACTTTCCTTTGTCATTGGCAAGTTATGAACTACCATCCCACTAGAGTATTTGGACATGTATTACATATCTCGGACAAGACCCCCACCCCCTTCTCTCTCTCTCTCTCTCTCTCTCTCCCCCTCCCGACAATAAAAGTTGTCACCTATTGTAGTAGGGAGGAGAAATTTGTCCAATAACTTTTAGATTTTCACTGCTCCCAACGAAAGAATCTTGTATCCGCCATGATTAGAATTGAATCACAAATTGGAAAAAAAGATTGTATGATATATTCGTGGATATTATACTAAAAATAAAGAGAAGAGAACGAATCAAATCTGAATAATGCATTTACATTTAATAATCAAGATGAAAAGAAAACATTCATACTCGTCTAAAATCTTTGCACATGGACTTGAATGTATAGGAAAGAAAACGAACTCCCCTCTGTTCATAATTAGATATAAATAAGGGAACATAATAGACATAGTTCTAGAATATGTACATTATACAAATATTTGTGTTCAAATGGCATTGAAACTTAAAATTGTAATAAATAAGTCAATAAATACAAAGTGAAAATTGACAGCACGTTATAAAATAGACATGATATGAAAAAAAATCTGACAAGTATATGACACGATTAACTAATACACCATCTACATCATACACAGAGGAAAATACAGTGGAATGGTTTCTTTTTAAAAGAATTACAAATGAAAGCACAAGTTTTATTTTATATCAAAAGAAAAGAAATCCCATTCGCGGTTTCATTGCTAAGACTATTAGAAATCTGTACATTCACGTAATTTACATCCAGGATTTCTCTTTGACAGTTTTAGAAAACAAAATTCAAATCTAATTATTTTGTTTGGAAAAGATAAATAATTAGACATGAAATACTAATTACTCCCACAATTCAAATCGTCAATAATGTTACGTCGGTGCATTTAATTGAGTATTAAATAAGCCGTTTATTTGACTGTAATTGTCCGAATAAAATATTGAATTGATATATCTCATAGATTAATCATATTCTCTCAAGCGATGAATTTAAATCGTATCAAGGTTTACAGTTATTTCAATTATTATATTTGGAGCTGAAGTTTCTGAAAATAGTTGTACAAGTTGTACCATTCATTTTAGTGATGCAAATTGAACACCCTAGTGGTCACTAGCAGTACTGATAATCTTAACATTTTAAAGTTACACTGCTCTTTGTCATCAATAATAGTTCCAAAGGGTCCATGTAGTCTTTAAAACATCTCTAAAAATTGGCAGGATAATTTGAAGTACTGAAATTTCACAAACTACGTGTAATTTAAGAGAACAGTCGTTTTCTTTGACGGGACCTTTTTAAGAATATAAATAAGAAACAGAGACAGAACTGAATAAATTAAAAGTGAGATATTCTCATACCAGTATCCTGGAAACAAGTACTTTCAAAACATGACATAAAATATGAGGCATTTCTAAAACAAAAATAACAAAAATTGATTGCACGTTTCTTGGCAGAATAAATCTACTGTCGGTATAATTTGTACATGATAAAGACATAACTCATTTCTATATGCGCCAAATGAAAATTTGACGTCAAAAGTCTCTTCAAAAGTCTCTTCTCCTTACTCTTCCTGTAAAGCTTTCGCCAATCTCCATATTTTCATTATGAATTCATGCGATTCTATTACAATTATTAGGTTTCTGTATAAAAATGTCGTCAACATTGACATCGTCATTACTACGACTCACTTACGCTTCCGTTCATGATGAAGAAGCCTATCTGATCTGTAAATGCAAAAAAAAAGGTATTCTGTACTGGTGACAAAACATTTGCAAACCTTTCATGATTTCACATGTGACGTTTGAATAGAGATCGCGACGTTTTTAATTGATCGTTCCTGTCATAGAACCTAGATAATGAAGCTGTTCCTTCCGAATATATCATTCTTTCTCTTTTACAAACGGCATTATCATAAATTATGACTCCATAAATTATTGGGTTTTTCGGAATAAATGAATATACAACCACGTTCATAATACCGGCTGTGTCTGCAGTCATTTTGTCAATGTTTCTCATAAGACTCGGACGCAGCTATTTCAAATTCGGTTTCAAATTCTTTCTTCTTCTTTCCATACTGTCATTGATACAAAGCCATCTGATGAAAGAATGCTACGAAAATTCAGACTTCAATCTTTTGGGATTGTCCTGGCACGGTTATCAGCCAAAGTTGGCGCCTTTTTTTCCATCTTGAGCATGCGATGAATTCTAGGATTATTCCGTAATATTTGTTTAAACCGAGAAGTCTTGGAACGAATTAGGTCCAAGACCAAATTCAACACTCCTCCAATCGTGATTCAACTCCATATACGTCACAATCATCGTTAGGTCGTGCATTCACTAAGATCCACCCCATCCATCACGTGATCTACATGCTGTCACCTGCTCCTCTTTAGTCCTTCTCCTGAACTTTTTGTTTCCATGGTTACGGGATGTTGACGCCGACTTTTGCATCTTCGGGTATCCTTCTGCTTAACTCATTTCCCGCTCCAACTTAAATTTTTGAACGTACATCGGTGTGCTTTAGTTGAAATCGATGTTCAGTGTCAATGAACATAATACACTTTACAAAATAGTAGTCCAGGAATAAAAAACAGTTACTTTATTCCATATTGTCTGTTGCTATTTTCCTCTGCTCTAAGTCTTTTGCGGAGGTCTGATTATTCCACCGCGTTAAAATAGGAATCCTGCATTGAGTATAGCTTGTCGATAGGGTTACTGATGATACCCCCTACATGGGGGACATGTACCACCCCATTCATCTCCATTTCCCCCTTGGTGAGGAGCGTGGTGACTTGACCGTTAGGGATCATGACGTCATGGTGGTCCATCACCCCTCCTACATCCATCCCGGGTGGAGGACCGTCGGCCATGTACTGCTCAGGGCTGTACATGGGCTGGTTCATCATGCCCTGTAACGAAGAAAGGGGATGAGGATTGTTTTAGTGTGCTATAGTTTAGTGATCAAATACATCATGACTGCACAGACTTTCAAGAAATTGACTTTCAATACCTTATCGTATCGACTATAGATATAATGTTCGGAGTTATATGTTATATGTCAATTTATTTAGCATGCAGGGCTAATTAAGTTACTTTAAGTTGATTTTATTAAAGTCTGCGTTACAATTTCTTTTATTTAAAAAAAGGCTACAACATAGGCATGCATGCATTCATAATCATGTTATGAGGTTGTTGTTTTTCAATTTGTGTATGGAATGAATTTGATTTCATGTCGTTCGTACGAGCTGAATAATGTTTCATAAGCAATTTACATCTAAGATTTATCATTAATTTCATTGAATCATCCTCAAAATTCCTTATAGAAAGTTATAGAATTTTCTCTGGATGTATTTGTATTTAATTTATATTTTCCTTATGACTTTTTTATATTTGCGGGAGGCCATAAAACCTTTGTTACAAATCTAATATTCAGTTACTATTCATATCAATGAAATCGCTTTATAAATTTAGAAAGTTTTGTTTGTTTGTTATTTACAATTCCCGGTGGTTGATTCCCAAGAGGTGAGTCCTGGCCGTAGGGTGATTCCATCATGCCTTGGTGGGAGGAGGGTGGAATGGAGTTGGGTCCGCCCGACGCGTAGTTATCCAGATCTGTGACGTCACTGAAAGAGAAATCGCTGTCGTCGTCTTTGCTTTCATCTTGGTCGTCGTTTCCTGGAGACATATGGGAAGGAAGGATTGGGATTAGTGATGTTGCAAAAGATCATTAACAAGATCAATGTGGTTTATTATTCTATGCTTATCTAGCTGGATTTATCATTCATTTACTTACTTGAAAAGAGAGAAAGAGAGATGGAGAAAGGGAGAGAGAGAGAGAGAGAGAGAGAGAGGGAAAGAGAGAGGGAAAGAAAGATAAAAATAGAAAGAGGATATAGAGAAATTAACCACTGGTTAAAGAGACATAGAGAAATTAAGAAAACTGAGCAAGAAAATTAGCTAGAGGAAAAGAAAGAGAGAAAGAGAGAAAGAGAGAGAAAGAGAGTCAACATGGTTATGACGTCATACATTTTGTCTCATCTTATCTATTTTTAATCATTATGAAGTATTCACATGTGTTGCTTTAATATTAACAAAACAAACTTGATTCAAATTTCAGTCTAGCTCGCAATTTTATTTTGGCAGCCCACCAGCCTTTTAGCAAGCTTATATTATGTAGGCCAAGCTCGAACAATTTCTTTCCTTTTTTTAGGGGGGGGGGGAGGGTGCCCCAAATCCACGCCCCCATACAATGACGTCTTCTAGTATTTACCTGATCTTCTTTGTGCTGCTGCCTCCTGCTCTGTCATGCTCTTCCTTGCTAGCTTCTTCATCTGATGAGATAGAAATAGGAACATGATATGGGTTAATTATCTACATTGTTGTTCATTCAACTTGAAATTACAAACCGTAATGTTGTAAACATGGCAAAAGAATTCATTGATGTACAATGTCAATGAAATTTCAGAATGATTATATGGCACATTTAATATGTTTCATGTTCTTTCATTCCATAACTTTGACGTGAAGATGTAACGGAAGAACACTGAATGTTCTTTCATCAATAAGCATTGTTTGGGCCAACTGGTTACTATCAATCAACATGATCAAGGTGAAATGCAATAACTCAATTCCTCCACAGTAAATTGTTTGATAACAATACTAATATTAACATCTATAACTCTTATAACATTTATCTTGGACTGATATTCGTCAACATGATGTTATGATCATAGATTTTTTTTCGCATTCTTTAAAAGACTGGGAGTTATAGCAAATTTCTATGGAAAGCAAAGTGATGTTGAATTGTATTACAACATTACAGATAAGCAAGGCGACCTTTCTATAACATGGGGCGTGTCATCAAGACCTTAAGCTATATCTTATTTAAGTTTGATAAACCACCCATCGAACGTAGAAAGCAAAGATGTGGATGACAAATAAAATTATTTTGACAACATTACTGGTCCGATATCCTTTCTATCACATAGGGATGTTTAATGAAAGCCTTAAACTACATCTTAGCAGAGTTTGAGGAAGCACGCCCTGGCTTAATAAGCAAATGGTTAAAGAGCTGTTCACTTACATGTTCCTTCCTTACCTTAGCTCGTTGGTTCTGGAACCAGACCTGGACTACCCTTACACTTAGACCAGTCTCCTTTGCAAGGGTTTCCCGGACCTAAAATGGACCAAGTCAAGTCAAAGGATTGTGTTAATTTATGTGGACTACATTGATGTGCACACCGTCTCATTCAAATCATCCGAACCACACAAATAAGTAAAGACATTTTAATCTCAATTAAATTTTCGAAAATGTTGTTTCATATCGATTTGCATGTTAACCTTAATAATATTAATCGTTTTTTAACATGTTTTGATAATGCTTTCAAATCCAACATTACTCTCATTGATAACATTTCATATTTGTTCCCTTCCCTTCTACTCTATGTTCAGTTAGGCCTACAATACCAACAACCATGGGTTAATGATAAGTTAAACTAACGCTACTACAATACTTTATCCCAGGTTTAAGTTAAAATTGGCTATCAGAATATCACAGCTGGACAATGTGTTCTGGCTAGTAGATATTCGGTGGACATTGTTCCACGAAACCGGTGTCAGAACAAGTTCGCCAACATCTCATTGTATGCGTGTTTATCTTAATACATGCATTTCAATAGGATGTCGGCGGACTTGTACTCACGACAGTGTCGTGAAACTCTCCCGCGCGTCCATCTTTTTTCTCATTATTGAATAACCTACCTTTCTGCAAGGTTTAGAGGACACCTCGAAAGATGCTTTGAAAGCCCGTCTTTGTGACGTCGTGAGGATTGTTCTTGGTCGCTTGGGTCCCTTTCGGCCATCTTGCGAACTTGACTTTGAAGACACTGCGGAGAATTGTAAAATATGTAATTACAATGGTATTCATTGTTGAATGAACAAGAAATAATTATCATTTACATTAAGAACATTGCCGGTAGTTATGTAATCTCAAAATGTGTTTACAAGGTAGTGAGAAGAGGTAAGAACTAAGTATCCTCGATACTCAGATGAGATAGACATAAATGGGAAAGAGAAATATTGTAGGTAGCTATATGAACGAACAGCAAGAAGTGATGAGAGAAAAGAAATGGGCAAACATACAATTCCTGCCCCTCCCCCAGGAACTGACAATCTAACTGCTCCCATGTTAATGGTTCTTATTAAATCCATCTACGGGCACTTTGCTGCTGCTTTCTTGAGTATACCAAAACGAAACTCTGATACTGATATAAATTAAAAATTTCTTTTACGGTAATAATTTGTACCTTTTTGCGTATCAACCGTGTGCTCTTTCGTGTAGTCCTCTTTGCAATAGAGGCGATTCTCCTTGAGTACGAACTCGTCGCCCTTTTTGAGCTGTTGGTCGCACGTGACACATGTGAAACAGCGGAGATGGTACACGTTGGAGAGCGCCCTCATCACAAGTTCACTCGAAGGGATCGACTGGAAGCAAGCATTGCACTTCGTTCCGAACAACCTGCAGAAGAGGAAGAGAAAATAAAAAAGAATGGGTTAATGATCACATCTCACACTATTTGGTGAAGCACATTATGGGCATGTTGACTGTGTAAAATATGTGTGTGTCGAAACGGTTGCTCATCACGTTGTCGACTTCGACATGGAGAGCCCTTTCGATTGACTGACTTCGGTCGATATGCAAGTCAGAGACAGGAATACCAAGACCTGTTTCTGCTTCCTTCAATTATATTGGAGAAAATGATTAGGCAGAAATGTAATACAATAAAGCCAATGGAACTATTTTATTTGTGTCAGCTCTGTCTAATTTTAAATCATTATTGGGTATTTCATCCGAGAAAAGTTGTTCAGGATGTAGTTTTCAAGAGGTAGATAGGGGAAGTTATATCGAGTTGGGTTACATTCATAGCTGTAGATTTCATCTTGTTCCCAATACGTTGGAGGCCTGTCTCTAGTTGATTTGAAATCATGAAGTTTTCCTATTTCTACAACTGAACATCCTATTAGCATTGCCATCTATCAATCTACAGCTTTAGAGTAGTACGAAAGCATTGATACAGGAAGGGGGATGGCAAGAGGTCCGGAATGAAACGGTATATGGCTTCTTGTTGTTTTGAAGGGGCATTGCCCGGAAAGACGGGTTGTCAAGTATCATCAGAGACGTTCATATCGAGACGATCGACCAACGCGCGGCCGGTCTCATGCACGCTCTTTTGTCTTGACGGCACGTGCGGTCCTGCAAGCGCTTCCACTCCCACTCCGCCTGGGAAGGATTTCTTGATAATAGGGTGAGTAAGACCTCTTATCAGATGAGATGACTATTATTTTCTAAAGGGATCCTTCCCTACTATTCCGGTAAGCTGGTTGAATAAATTCTGGACATGTTCCATCATTCAAAAAAATGTACGGAACTATGTAGTGGGTTGTAGTTTGGTGATAGATAAAATATTATTCAGTAATCTATAGAGCGACGGCTTCTTAAAGTTCCTTAAAATATACACATTAATCAAGATGACGCAATTAGGACACGACTCTTCTGAATTTCTCGTGTGAGCGGAGGAGGTCACTGCGACCAAGCGAGGAATACAGACGATCAAAGTTATTGCTGTAACTTAGGTCTGACCCGACATACCGCTCACGCCATTCATGATCATGATGGCCTGAACGGCATGAAGCCATTCACGGCCAAGCAATCTTTCTGTTGTTGTATCCCTGTCAGGCCAAAAAGGGATGGGAAGTTTCCCAGGGAGAGGGTGCTGCGAGCAAACGTTCTAGCTATTTGTTGAGGAGATAGAGTCAACTTCTGGTCAAATGCTCTATTGTGGACAGAATCGTATGTGGTCAAACGTTCTTTTGTGGACAGAATTCGCAGTGGTCAAGCGTTCTATTGTGTTGCTACCCCTCCATAGATGGACACGGTCTTGGTGGCGGAAATGGGACTAAGCTACTTATTCCGCCTATTGCCATTGACTTGTATACACCGTCGTTCGTATAAGTCTCACGGCATATTTAGTTATCATGGTCAACTTATTGTTCACAATTCCTTCCTTTTCCTCCGTCACGCTCTTTTTCTCCCCCCGTCTCTCTCTCTCTCTCTCTCTCTCTCTCTCTTGTTCTTTCTCCTCTTTCTTTAGACAATACTACGTCTGTCTATGATCACTCAAACTTCTCCATCTCTCTTCCTCTCACTCCTTCTGTCTGTCTGCGTGACTCTCTCTCTCTCTCTCTCTTGTTCTTTCTCCTCTTTCTTTAGACAATACTAAGTCTGTCTATGATTCCTCAAACTTCTCCATCTCTCTTCCTCTCACTCCTTCTGTCTGTCTGTGTGACTCTCTCTCCCTCCCTCTCTCTTTCTCTCTTTCTCTCTGCCCCTCCTCTCTCTATGTTTACTATCATTGTCGTCTATACCATCTCTTTCCCAATACATACGTTTATAATTTCACTTTCTTTCTCTCTTTCTCTCATTCTCTCTCATTATCTCATTCTACATCATCAAATTCTTGAAGTGACTTAGTAAAGAATTCTAACTCTTGGATAACCTTCATATCTTAGGACAAAGCTTTGGACACGGCACATCCATTCTTTTCCTCAAGTACTTTTGTTGAGTAATCGTGAAGAGTTACAGAGATTGAAGTGTAATGTTCCAATCACATTGTGCATTTCTTCAGCCCAGGTAACACTTGCCCTTGAAGAAAATGTATCCCTCGGTTAATTTGCCGCTTAGTTCAGCTCATCAAATTGCCAGTCATCCTGTCATGTTTCTGACAAATTAATTGCCTCGGGGTTTCTTTCATCTTTTAATGTGTCAAAGATATGAAAACATCATAAGATGAAAACAGCCATGTCACACTATGACAAAGAACTCTCGTATTTTGCCTGAAACGGCGGAAGATTTTGACAGCCTTTAATGTTACGGAAATGTCACAAAAATAACAATCCTTCGCGTTCCTGATGAAAATGTAATTAACATTTATATTACATATAAATTTATAAGATAACACTTGAAAAAATACATGTGTATGCCTCCTTCCTCTCTCTCTCTCTCTATTTCTTCTCTGTCTCTCTGTTTGTCTATCTGTTTGTTTCTCTGTCTCTCTCTTTCTCTCTCTCTCTCTCTCTCTCTCTCTCTCTCTCTCTTGCTTTCTCCATCTTTCTTTCTTTTATAGGCTAAGCCCGTTCATAACGCATGACCCGTCAGACAAACTTTTACACGCGCTGGCACAGTGAGAAAATACAGGCAATGAAGGGAACGCTATACCAACACACTTTACACAAAACCCACACGCACATTACACTTAAAAACACACACAGCGCACACGACACGGCCAAGCGGCCAAGTCGTGCCCAGCCGCGCGGACTCCACATCTTCCCTAGACCGTCTCGTGGCGTCTTGCTGTGTACGCCACGGCTCCAATAGAGTTTGCCCGCTTTCTATTCAGCGCACGTGCGCGCGTTTTTCCTCCGAGTGTTTGTTTAAATAACAAGCATTATTTCAGCCACCATGCCTAACAATACGCTGCTTCGTCGTTTTTATTGCAAGAGTTGATGGCATGAAGGAGGAGATTCGAAGGAGGATGGATGTGGAAAAGGAAAGAGAAAGAAAGGGAGAGAGAGAGAGAGAGAGAGAGAGAGAACATGGTCGCACGCAAGCGTGTAGTCCACCTTTTTTCCATTTCGTTTACATAGTTTTTTATAAGAGTAAAGGGTTGTTGTACATAGCAAGCCTGTCACCGTGTGTAATTACTATTGTATTGTGTTGTCATTTTGAGTCTTTTATTTACCCTCTCCTTCTCCTCTCTCTCTCTCTCTCTCTCTCTCTCTATCTCTCTCTTCCGTCATCAACTCCTTTTTCTTCCTACATGTCAGTTCCTTGAATGTATTTGACTTGCTTGGAGAAATCATAACTGTCATAATAATCATCATAATATCTGACAGCTCTGTATAAGCTCTCGATCTATTACTCCTAATAACATGTCATTCATATTCCTCTACTGTCATCTTAACTGTGAAGCATTGGAAGAAAAACGCTCTTTCAAAATCCTTTCAGGTTACATTCTATAGTCATGATATACTAAAAGTATACGCGTTGCAGAAAGGAGATGAATTGTGTTTGGCCAAACAAAATTGATTTCAATTGTTTTGACCAAAATAATTGATAAGGTACTTAAAAACTAATATTTTGGTATCACATGAAATTAATTGTAGGCCTAACCAGTAGTAGTAGTGAATATAAAACCAACGAAAGCTAGCTTGGCATCATAATATATTTAAGGTTTAAAGTTTCCAACCTAACGCTCACAAAATTGATAGACTAATTTCATTATCTGCGTGAGCTCTGAAAATCTCGTAGTGAGTGTGTATAATCATACGGATTAGAGGAATTTAATTGTTAATTTTGCTTTGCATTGAAGAAAGATAGATATAAAGTACGAAACAAAGGGAGAGAAGGGAACAATAGAAAGTAGAACAAGAAGAAGACAAGTGGGTGTGTACATGTTGTTGTTTAACATAGAGGAACGATATCTGAGGAGATATGGTGAGGAAAATGATTTTGAGGGGAAAAGGTGAGTGAGATAAAGAAACAGGAAAATAACTGAAAGAGGGGTTGTCAAAAACAACGACAGCGTAGAGATAGAGATATACACTCATGGAAGAGGAGGGGAAAGGGGAAGAGTAGGGACCAAGAAAGGACGATTGCAAAGTAGGCCTAAATGGGGAGATTAAAATTACACTTGATGCACGTTGAAATGTCAGAGCACTATGGTCATCAGGAACAAGGTTTCTTTTACTTGACTAGAGAGGTGGAATGGTTATAAATGACCATATGTGAATATCAGAGAAGAACAGAAGTCTGAAGCAAGCAATTTCACTGCTACTTTTCCCCAGCAATAAAAGTCAGTCATTTCGCCAGAATTCAGCCTTGTTTTATTACCAAGCCGAGCCTTTAAATTGTTTGCCTTCTCGACCCGGCCTAAGAGCGTACAATCTGCCTCCCCGTCATAAACTTCATTCACGCACTCGACCAGGGTGAAAAATCTCAGAAAATGCCCCGTTCTCGACATTTTTTTCTCTTTGTACACCATTATAATCTCTCAGCTCCCGGTTTCCCTCTCACCATTTAAGTTGAAGTGGGACATGACTACTTTTCATTCAAACACAAGCGAGGCGCAACACGCGAAGAGCTCGCTTAAAATATGACGTTAAAATGTCTTCCACTCCTCAGCCTGTAATGCAGTCAATAAAAAAAAGTCAGTAGCAACGGAAAGACTGGATGATTCCTGTAAGAGAGACATCTCTGAAGGAGATTGGAGGAGAAGTGGAGGGTAAGGAGGAAGAGAAAAGGGGACTGGAAGCCTCCGATCGAATTTCGGAAAGGAGGTCTGGGGGAAACTCTTGACGGGCTAACCCTCATGAGAGAGTGAAAAGCCGGAACGCCTGTTTAAGCCGCCACCGCACACGGGGGATCAACAAAGACAGCCAAGAAGCGCTATATACTG